GAGGTTCCATAATCGAATCTTCAACTTACGGTCGGCTCACACAAATGGTCACACGGAGTATCCTACATTTAATCTCGCGGAACTTCCGAGATCGTTCGATTTCACCATCGGATAGCGCTCGCGATTCCTCTGCGTTGTTGACACGGCGAACGTTTCGATCGTTTCTCTGGCCTCGCCGAACGCACACTTGGCGAACATTTCCGACTTGCGCGGCGTCAAGAAGCGCGGACAGACACTCCGCCGATTGCAATCAGTATCGTTTCGCATCTAGTTTCGAAGCTTCTACATTGTCTGCTCGAGCTCCTCCGATACCAAGGTACAAGGAAAATGACTTCAGAGTTGATTAGAGCGTTAAAAAATAATTTCGAATAGAAACACGGAAATTCGCGCACCCGACAAAAAAATGCAGAAATTCGCGCATTTATTCGCGCGTATCGCGCGCGCGATGAATGCCCAGCCCTAGTGTTCGTTATTCGAAGATTCGCGGGGGTTCCTAAAAATTGTCGGTTCTGCCGCTGAGTTCGAGAACACAATCTGCGAATTAATTCCCGATCCGATCTCGGATCCCAGGTGAATGAGATGGTCGAAACGAGAGAACGCTTAGGTTCCTCCTTGTTGTTGAATTTCGATCTTCTCCACCTGCAACGAGAGGCGGAGGACAATTCTTTAAGAACTCCTTCAATATGATTTGTTATCTGGAGTCGGGGACGAAATCTCTGGGGAAGCGGTTCTGCAAGCGCTTGGTCTATCGGATCGCCGTCACTCTGAATGGTTATCTTCTGCTCTGCGCGAGTCTCTACGACTCCATCTCTCTCCATCTTGTACGTGACCGTCTCCACGGTGCGAGTTTTTGAAGAGATGGTCTGCCACGAGTTGATTTCGCCTTCCTGCTCGACGGATATGTCGTGGGGCGGGACGTGTTGCGTCGTAACTTTCGTCGTTGAATACTAACCGCCAAGCGGGAGTCCGTCTTCAGCGATGGTATCGACCGAGTACGCGACTTTTCGGGTCTCGGTCGATACTACTGGGCCGGTTTTGGTCGAAGAGGACGTTGTGTTCGACGCCATTCCGTTGTCGTACTTCATCGATTCGGTCTTCACTATCGTTTGCTGTGGGGAGATTCGATCAAGGAATTCCCCGACTGTATGCTGAAGACTTGCGAGGGGTTTTCAATCTGTGACAGAAGGTTTTCCGCTCTAAAACTCGGTCGACGCAAGCTAGAACCAACTGGAGCACTCACTGGCAGTTGGTCCACCGGGACGGACATCACTCGACCAGTGGACGCGATGTGCTCCGTGACGAGGGTTTGCTGTTGCTGCTGAGTCGTAGTTGAGTATCTGGTGTACTCACCGGTCTTGTCGTCGTAAACCAAACCCCCGGCCGCCGTTGGGCTCGCGCCCGTTTCCATTGCGGCGTTCCCAGTGGATCTCTGAGGAATGGTTTCCGTCTTCTCGAATCGGCCGGACGATGTCGTCGACGTGTAGGACTGGAAAACATTTAGACGAAGAGGTTGGATTTTCATCCCATCGTGTCCGTCCGATTTCATTGCGCACGGCTCCTCGTGGAGCTTCGAAAATGCCAGACAACGTAGACGGGTATCGAGAACGTTGTCATTTCCCATGTGACGCATCATGCCAGAATGCCAGGGAGGATTCGGCGCGGGTCTCACCTGGGAATCCTTCTCGAAAGATGCGGAAGGCGACTTCGGTGGTTGTTTCGATAGCCTGCCTAGCGATCCGAACGAGGTATCCTTGACCGCGCTAGTCTCCTGACTTCTATCTCTCGAATCCTGGCGGTACTGAGGATGGGGGTGGCGCGAGTGTTCGTGCAAACGCCGCTTTCATCCACAGCCAAGAGTACAGACTGACCGCTGTCACATCTCATAACAACACTCCCACACACATGATGTAGCCAAATATCCATCTCTCCGCTCCTGGCAAACCTAGATATCCGAACTCTATCTAAACCCTAGCGTCGATGAGCTTGTTCTCCTCTATCTGCCAGCAGATCCAGAATCCATGTCCGCAAACACAGCTGGCAACGAACGAATTCCAACAGACTCATGTCATTCGCTTGCCCAGTACATATTTATAAGGTGGAAGAGATTGATCCAATCCATCGCACGAACTACGCCACCTTCTGAAACAAGAACTAGGTACTCGCGATTTCGAAAAAAAAAATTACACCTATGAGGAAAGTCACACTCTTAGTTTTAAAGACTCAAAAAACGAACTCTGTGCTCTCAAAAAAAGGGAGTCTACAAGCGGGGGATCGTTCTGTGATTGCGCATTCTCATACACACTATGTAGCTACTGATAGCATGGCGGTCATGAAAGTCATCGTCGATCACGCGGAAATCATCGTCGTAATCATCATTATAGAGGTCACGCACGATCCATCGTCAATCGATGAGCTCTGACAGTTCGCAATCGGGGCATTCGCCGGAGCGGACCGATAGAGAGAGAGAAACTGGAGCAGAATCAAAACAAAAGAAGCAAAATAAAAACCTTGTAAGATGCAGAGGGCTGGCCGTATGCAGAACGGTGCGTGCTCGGGGCCATCATACCCTTGCTCGCAGAGTCGAAACTGTAGTCGAAACTTCGGTCCGAAGACGGTGTCGTCAACGAGGTGTGTGTCACGGTCCTTTTGACCGGAATTTCGTAGCTCTTGACGAGCGCGGACTTGGGCGTGGCGTAGTATTCCTCTTGCGGTGGGGGAGTCCGACTGTGCGAGCTGCGTGGATAGGTCCTTGTGGAGGTGACCGGTGGATTGATTATCGAAACCTTGCGTTCGGCGCTCGTGTCCAACCTCCCGGTAACCACGCCGGCAGATCTCGGCGGTCTTTCCTGCCTGCACTCCTCGAAAGATTCGTCGCTGTTCTCCTCTTCACTGCCGCCACTGGAGTCGATGTCTCTATGAGATGAAGGCGTGACGGCCCCCGGTCTGGAAGCGCTTTTCGGTTTCTGTGGGATCGGGGACTTGCGGGGTGGTGACGTGGACGTCATCCCGCTCATCCTGGAGGACGTAACGGTCCTAGGGGCGGCGGTGGGTCGTGAGTAGATTGAATCACCACCGGCTGTCTTTGTCGGCGATGTCGGTGGCGTCGACCCGAAACTTCTCGACATCGAGTCGGTCAGGCTGGAGGAAGACCGGTCGTGTGCAGAGGACTGTTTGAGGATCGGCTCGTCGGGGCACCGCTCGGCGAATAAGTGAACGCAAGACCTTTCTCGACCTTGGACTTGACGCGATCAGGCGACGTAGGCGAAAAGGTCTTGTCTCTGCTCTGCTGCTCTGTGTAGGTGAATCCTCGGGACAAGCCGGTGCTTGTCCGACTGGATCTGTGTTCGTCGTCCGCTTTGACTTCGTACATGTACTCCTTGGTGTACGGGGTGGCCTGCCTAAGGAATCCCCCTCCCGGTCGGGAGCCCTCGATCGGACTCGAGGTCCTCTAGGGCTGCTGGTGACCGGGGGCGACCCTGGGCCTTCCACCGCTCGGCCTCGGCGTACGGGATGCTCGTCGTTGTCCTTCAAAAGATGCAAACTGCTTAGATTCTCCTTCCGGTTGAGGACGTGATGCGGATGCGAAGAGTCGGGCTCTTCCTCGAGCGTGTTCATGCACTCGGTACTCCGGTCGAGATTGTTCCTCACAACCTCCTGGTCGACAAGAGCCGTAAGAGGAGTTGTGATGATTTGACCTTCGGAGTGAATGTGTCGAAGGGGTGGGCGACCTTTCGACCGAGCGCCCGTCATCGTCGGATCGACGGACACGGTGTGGGTGGAAGGTTCTCTCGCAGAGCGGCTCTTTGGACTGTCGGTGTTGTTGAGATCGACTTCGTTGCTGCGGTGGCTGTGTTTCTCGATTCGGTGGTCAACGCGATCGACGCTCACAACGCTATCGACAAGATTGCCGTCAGATTGGCTCAACCCCACTTGCGGTTGTCCTCCGTCGTCGACGCAAACGTATTCAGCCGAGTCCTCGACGGAAGATCCTATGTTGTTGACGCGCACGGATGTCCTCTTGAGTTTAGTGAGTGTGATACCAGTTCCGTCCTGTGTTTTTGGTTGGGCAGGCGCAGGATGAAGTAGCATGCACAACGACGCGGGCAGACATTACAGAGTTAAAATATGTGGTCGAGTGGTTAGCACACATCCGACGATAGGGTTGGTTAGGCGACGGATGTACGGTCAATCAACAATCCAATCAGGGAGCCAAAACAAGCGTCATGCAGCAGGGGGTTAGGAAGGGGAAAAAATTGGAAAAAAAGCTGTTAGTTTTCAGTTTCGGCAACTTCGGAATTTTGTCCATAGATATCTTTACTGATGTATAGATTTTGAATCCAACGAGACACATATAAGATCTTAATGAAAGTATATGGATATGCTCCTTTTACGTTCTACGGGTTTCTACGTTCATTGCTACGCTTCTCCTTTATGTCTGTGAGACTTAAAACCAGTTTTCAGGTTTGGGAACAGCTCGGAGTCTAATGTTTGACGAGTCGTCGACCGATCATCGTTGAGGGAAGAATAAATCGGGAGAAGATCAAGTCGAGAGAAAAATAAGGATGAAAATCCGTAGAAATAGGAAAATCAATATGGGACACGTGGAGAGAATTGCGACCTCGGCATTCTTTATGATAGACCATCATTCCAGCCGAGAAGTACACAGCGGAAGAAATTCACAAGTCAGGGAAGAGGAGACTCGTTATGGTGATCGCCCAGTTTGGCATCCACGATCATCAAAAGAAGAAACGCCAGCGAGTTTCAATGTCTGCTTTCACTCAGGAAGGTTATCGGAATTCCTGCGCAGATAGGGCGAATTCTTGGATCTGACCGGATAGTTGTGAGTAGGTTCATAAGCCCTCTTCAACGTACACCCGGTTTAAAACATCCTTAATCATGACATTGGTCAGAGAGCGGATCAGGAAGATGGTCATGAGGAAAGTTTTCAGGATCGATAGGGGGGTGGAGCAGGAGGAGAAGTGAGAGAAATAAGGAGATGAGACGAAGGTCCGATCTCTAAGACCCAGAATTCACCAAAATAAATAAAATGTTCGTGCTGGAGACCCATTGAGGGAGCTCGGTTCGATCGGGACTCAGGAATCTGTCATAGATAGGCCGAGGAGTCAGTTTCGAGAGCAAAACTGCGTAGCACCCGCGGACGACTCGATGGGTGATGTAGTCATGGGCAAGATTCTTCGGCTCTCTAAGATTCTGCCTGCGAGAATCGGACTCATGCTCCGAGCACCGACCGCATAAGAGGATATCTTCCGAGAAAATGATCATTGATACATGGAATCACGGGGAACTCTCCATCGCATGACGGGAGTATACGGATTTCCCATGCCGATACCGTATGCTGGCTCGAAATCGAATGCTTCTCTCGCTCACGAATATATTACCAGTAATTGCTTGAGCTTGGCACCATCATTTGGGACCCTCGAGGATGCTTCTTGACGCCGGAAGCCGTAGATCTTTGTCCACCGATGAGATACCCTCTCGGATTTCAGGGGGGACGGGACTGAATTTCAACTGAAAAGCCTTTGGAAGCCTCGAGCGCCGATATCCCGCGATGATCTCACGTGTATCTTGGAACGAACCATGTATTCGTATAGCTTTCACTTATCGTTCTGCGATAACGAAGCCTATCGCAACACTTCCTGCTGAGCTCCAAGGATTCGAGAAAAGTGGAGACTGTCGCCGATGGAGGGACAGCAGGACATCCGCGTGCCCACTCAGGAGAATGAGCTGTCAGACATTCTGAGGTCCTTGCGGGAGAAGTTCCTAGAGACAGCGGACTCCAACAGAGTGAGTCGAAATTCGAGAGTAGGAACGTGCTCCCTGCGGAAACGGGATGATTATCTATAGCCGCATTGTGATTACTTCTCATGGAATGAAGATATCCGTTCGATCATTTCGGAAATGAGCGCCGGTACATCAATATCTAAAGTAATAATAGAGTCGTTCAATCCCTGAAGGAGATGTCGGATGACGAACAATCGACGAGTTCCAGCATAATTGATGAGATCTCCGGATTTCCGAATGGGGACTCGACGGAGAAACCGGCGGATGGTACGTCGGCCTCGAGACTCAGAGTGCGCTTTGACGGGACGGCCTCCTACCACGGACGCAGCGGCGTCCATTCTTCCAAATGTGAAGACTTCATGGAGCAAACAATCAGCGTGGCAGAGATCGAGAAGATTTTCGACATCGATTTCGACCAGGTAATCGTAAATTTCAACGGGCATTCGCCCGATGTGTACAGTGAGAAAGCTCGATCCCCGGCTGCTTCCATATTCATGACAGGACTGGGTCAAGCTGGTGACGTCATATCGAGTCCCGAGGCCTGATGATCGACCTTTGACTAGAGAGGAGCAATCGATCCGCGAGAAGGTGCAGAAGGCGGAAATTCGCCTGCGAAAACGCGACGAAAAAATACGACTAGCGATGCAGAAAGCGGAGACAACTACGGAAGCGGAGATGATACGACGTCAGGTGATGGAACGTTTGCGTTCTAAAGCCGAAAAGTACATGGAGAAGCATAGATGTCGATGGAAGAAAGACAAGCTAATGGTACACCGAAATCCCTTCTGATTATTTATGTCAGACCCCGGCTTTGCACTCGGATGCGGGCAAGCTGATTGGAATTGCAGGACCCGAAGAAAAGTCCATCCAAATCGGGTGGACTCGGCGGAGGAGATCACTGACAGAAACTCACGGATGACGACCTCCAGCAGCGATTGCGGACCCGATTTCAAGGATAGGTTCCGGCTGTTCTTGTCTCTTTGAGATAATAAATACGATGGTTCATCAGTCCGAGTTCCTGCTGTGAGACCTGGTGGCAATGCGAATCGTTACCCCGAGCACTAATCAGAAAGCCGGTGGATAGCCGGGTTCTCAGAGCTATCTGCCATCTTCAGGCAGATCCTCATCCGTCCTTCGCTCCATCTAGCCATCCATCGGTCGGTAGAGTCCGGATTCGCGGGAGCCGACTCTGGAGGCTGGCGATCCGTCTCGCAATGCTTCGACGGCAACGGGAGGAAAGCCTTGATTTGATTGACTCCCGGACGGAATAGATTCACATGGGCGAAGGCGTGGGCTCTCTGGTTTAAATCCAGGGTCCAGCTTTTTCCCCACAAGCTGTGTCTGATTCCAAGGAAGGACTTCCGATTGATGATCAGCGGATTCGAGTTGCCCGGTGCAATCACTGATACGATAGACGATAAGACTCACGACAACCGCCGAGCGGGGCGAGACAAAGAGAGCTGTGGGTGAATGAAGCGGGGAGGAGAAGTGGAACAGGACACTGGAAGCAACAATTGAAATGGGGGTTGGGCTTTTCCCTGAAACCCCGCATGCGAACAGCAAAGGAGGCCTTCTCTCTAGGCACACCGGTGTGGTCGTTATCGCTGTCATCAGTCAGCGGCCATTCTCGTCTCGCTTTCGTCGGCCGACCGGCAAGCCGACGAGTCGAGCGAGCAGCCGGCCGGCTACAATAGATAATGACCTAACTCTTTCTGATAAATGTCTGCCCCGTTCCCGCTTGCAATGAAGGCCACAATAAAATGTTGCTCTCCTCTTGTTCGCTATCCATATCAACCAGCGGCCGAAGCGTAGTGTCCCGGCCGGCCGCATCCCTTTGTTGTGGCTCTTTTTCGCGCAAGTTATCTTGTCGTCCCCGCTTCGCCACTGCGCCCCGCTTCTCCTGGGGCTCCGTTCGCCTACGCCCCCTTCAAAGCCTGCCCGACAGCATGCTCATCTTCTCCCTCCTGCCCCTACACGACCACGCGACGAGGTCCAGCGGGGAAGAGAAAGGCCTAGAAGAGAACAACTACAGGTCTTCAACAGTTAGCGAGCCGTACGGCTCCCTTACTCGGCTCAATAGTCGCCTATCCCCAGACTGCATATTATAGAGCTCGCTTTCGGTGGGAAACGTTGATTCCGACACAGTGATGTGTCTGAATAGCGCTTCTGTCATGCGACGCCTTCCTGCGACGCCGTACGACTCGCGAAAAGAAACGGGGCGGGAGCGGCGGAAAGTGATTTCCGCACCGGACAAGCGCTTCCGGTTATTCTTGAGACGTTTATGACAACTTGATGAGCATAAGATACGCGAGGATGGTGGTACGCGTCTCACCTCGGCTATCGTTCCTACGTCGGCCGTGCAGCTATTGTGCTCGTGCTACTCCTCTCTTCTCGCATTCCCATTCCTCGTATCGGACGGAACGCGGGAATCGTTCCAAGTTGGACTTCAAGGATGGGAGGAAGATCCAGGGAACGAGCCTCGCTGATTCGGAGTTCTCCTATGTCTGGTATCGAACGACGAGGATGTTCTGGATGTTCCAATCCATGCATGATGGCATGCAAAGCCCGTGCCCAATATACGGGTCAAGTACCTGTGTCAAGTTAGTGTGCGAGCGGAGTAGCGTCATCCATGAGTCCCGAGCCTTTGAAGGGGGGATTCTGCCCGACGAATAAACAAAGGGTTTATGAATTGGTTGAGTTTATGACTGCGGTCGTAGATCACCGAAGACCGTCCAAGCAATCTGGGCAGGACAACGGGGAGCACGTACGCTCCGGTGACTTGTGGATTGCGCGATTTAATATTCACATAGACAGTTGTGACCTTTCAACGAGAGAATGCACATTGCGTGTGGATCCGTGAGCTGTCGCATTTCGGTCGTAGAGGAGAATGAGATGTTTCAGCAAGTCTTTGAAAGTCAATAAGATTGTCATCCTTTTCCCTCCTTAAGGAAGAAACACTAAACACAGGAGTATTATTAGTTATACAGGCTCCGCGTGGGGACGATGAAACGTTTCAGGACGAAGATGCGTCTGAGAGCCCCCATGAGAACACCCTGACTGAGCGACGAACACTCCGCTTGAACAAGTCGCTCGGGCTGCCATCCAGCTCTCCATGGTGAGACAAAGCTCTAATGGAGTTCGCTCTTCGATTGCATTCCGTCGATGTTGCTCGCAAGCGTTGGTCGAGGCAACAGCCCGTACGCGATGGGAGCTTAGATGGTGAATATAGCCTGGCGCAAAGAGCTCCTCCGCGTTCTGAACTTCCGCACCGCTGCCGTGGTGACGAATGACTTGCAGTCTGAGACCGAATCGCCATATTATGACTCTCCGAGGCATACGAGAAATCCCGACGCCGAGAACAGTCTTGTCGGAGGTCGACGCTCGGTCGGTCAGACGCGCTCTCGTATTTCCAGCTGGCCGATTCGGCACATTTATGCTTGGAAGAGCAAATGGGCGCCGTGAATGTCCAATCGGACGATTTTCGGTGATGCCTCTGAGGCTTGAGGAAAGCATTCCCAATGATAGGGACGGGAACGTGTTGACCATCCATACAGGGCTCACCGCGGGATGACCAGGATGACCGGTCGACACGGATTCAAACCTTCTCTGAAAGGAATTCGAAAAGGCTCCAAGACGACAAGGTGGACAACGCCGGATCTTGTAAAAATCGGGCGGCATTATTTGGCATTTTTCTTCCGACCCAATGATCCGAATCCGGATTCGTTTGATTTTAGGAACGTGGAGTTGCCCATTCAATGTGTCCATCGACCCAGAGTCTGAGTGAATTATACTCATTGGGGCGAGCCTCCGGATTGAGCGACTCATCAGAAGGAAAATCATGCACGTCATATGAGTGGAGGATGATTATCTACGTTTCCTTACCGCTCCTTGAGAATCACCCCGAGAGCTCGATGTCGGACTGGAGTTTTCTCCCGGCAGCTTCTGTTCTCCGACTCCAATCAACGCGGAGTTGAATCCATGACCTTCGATGACCAGTCGTTTTGAGTACCTGTTTGTGTCCAGGCCCGGGCAACAATCGAGAAGTGTGGGCAGCCGGGCTGGTTGACTGATTTGTTGGCGCCTCTCAAATGGTCTGAAACGATCAACGAAGCGGCTCAACCTGGGAGCGTTTCGGACGCTCCCACTGTTCCCCACAGCCCTCAGCTCGATTCGGAGCGTTTTGCCCTCGGATAGGGCTCGCATCGGTGCTATTCGATGTGGTTGGTGGAGGGATGTCTCGATCTTTCTCACAATCAGACTCGTTAGAAAAGTTTGCGCTTTAGCAATGCTACGAAGTCTGATGCCTTACAAGTCTTCGATGAGAAATCTGCTTGGAGATTCCAGCTTTATCCAAATGTGTCGGCTGACTTAATTTCCGAAACTGAGGTGTCAGCTGTCAACTCACTCTGAGCGACGAGTAAGCTGATGTCAATCGAAGAATTATACGGCGCCCGACCATGAGTTTTTCTCCGCGCGGTAGAGAAGATTACAGGAGTGATCTAGTGTTTTGTTTCAGAGCCTCCGACGATGAGTACAACTCTAGAGGATATCTTCTGTTCTGGAATTAGTTATTGGTATTGCGTTGAAGACTATGCGCATATCTACGAATGTAATATTGAGAGTAGTTCTGATCCCTCAGTTTTCTGTGCGTTCGTCGCATGACGTGGAGTAGCCTCTCGAAGATGCTCCGCATAAACTCTCCCCATTTCATTCCCGTGGTCTCCCGACACGGGAGAAGTACATTGGTACTTATCAGGGATGACGAGCGGCGACGTCCCTTGGCTCTCATCGGGAGTGCGACGCGAACCTTTAATCTCGATTGAATTAATGATCATAGAGAATAAGATAATCTCCGTGGATACATCGTCGATCGGAGAGATGACTGTGGCCGATCATCGGCATTTTCCTTGCTTGCAATTGACTCGGAACCGGAAACACTCTCGGGCTCCGTCTTTTCTCGCTCAGGTGCATTGACCTCAGATTCTTAGCTCGACTGATTTGGTGTCGAGCCTATCCCCGTCTCAGATAAAACATACCTCCTTGAACTATGGAGGCTCCAATAAAATTGAAGAGGAGACTGAGCTCCTGAGCTAAAAGTAGACGGGCTGAGCCAAGGAGTAGACGGACACCCCATTTCCGACGCACCTCATTCCTTGATTTTAGCGTCATCTCCGAGCTGGACATCTTGCGGTGCCGGACAGTCCTTGGGAACCCAGTCCGCGGTCTGTGTCTGGAGTCTCATCCTCTGTACCTCATGGCTCCGCGAGCCGTCTAACAAAGCTTACTTAGTTCCGCCAATCCTCGGACGGGATTTGATCGAGAAAAAGGAGGAAGTCCGGAAGCCCAGAAACGGGGCAGTAGAAACTCTGACCGCAGACTGTTTATCTGCTGTAGACTTATTTCAACCAGGCCATCGACGCGAATTCGGAGAGCGCCTCGAAGGCGAGGGCTGATCGATTGGAGATGCGTAAGTTACGAATAGTCATATCTCATATCATAATTTCAAACATTTAAGGGAATGAATGACAAGCTTCTCTCCGCCGACGCCTACATATATGTATGTATTTGGGGGATGCCACGCCGTCTCCTCAAATTTGAGGTTTCGGGATACGAGCGGAAGCTGCTTGTCACCGATGGATTATCGGAGAGAGAGGATTACGGAGAGAGATTCTTGAGGTCAGAGCTCAATGGCGGTCAAGTTCCTAGCCTTGGCCTTGTAATTATTCGCCAGACCTTGCTCAGCTCACGAGTGTCGAAGACCTCCATCGATGCGGCTCTTCAGGAACGTCACGCGTGACTCGGAATATCCCAGAGCTGTGTCCTAGCCGCTCAACAGGACGTAGGATGGGACGTTGTCTTCTGCTTGTCGCCGCGAACCGAATTTCGCGACAGACTTCCGATCAAACCTTATGATCGCTAGAGGAATCTCTCGGCAATGAAGCCGAAACTGCCGAGATAGCTAGGAAGAGGGGGTCCCAATCATAAGCTTCTGGAGATTCAAAAACAAGATTGGACCCTCTCGCAAGCGCATGACGAGCCCGGAACAAATGAATATTTGAGTCGAGCTGCATCTTTTCTGCATACTTCGCTTTGGGAGATTCACCCGAGGACATTGTATACTCGAGCAGTTCCAGAACAATGGGAAATCAGCGGGAGGGTATTGCTCTATTCAAGAAAAAGAATGTCTAGCGGAAATATTGGGTATTCGACATATACCCCGAATTTTTCTCTGAAAACGTAGGTTCATGATGCGCCTTCACTCTTGGGGTCCGGCGGCGAATCCTAAATGGCTAGGCGTGGACTCCACGTGGAAGGCCCCGTGGGCGGGCCATATCAGTTGCCCTCTCCGCTTTGAAGGGCTCTCTGTTGATCCCTTGTTGGAGTTGTCGAGATCAACTGTTCACTCCGGGGGTTGGTTCCAGTGGGGGACTTTTTTTCCTCACGGGAAAACTAATAACCGCCGTCGTTTAGTACCATCTTGTTTTGTCAGACCGGAAACCTTCGATCTGCGAATATGCCCCGGTGTTACCTTCTGAAGAAAAAAGTCGCCGCCCTAGAGCTCAGGAGAGCTGCGGAACAGGAGAAGTTCAACGCGATCGCGCGCCACGGTGAGTTTGAATTATGATTTTCCCTGGAGAAAAACGTGCATGGCAGGAGAGTGGTTCCGCGTCTCGACGCCGACTCTTGGGAGCGACTTCCGTGTCCCAAGGCCTCTCGTGTCTTCGTGACGTGAGAAACCTTTCCAACCGCTTCCATGCGCGGACATTCGGGGATTTCGGAAGCGCGAGTCCGTATCCTGAATCCTGACCTCAAACGTGTAACACTGGATTCCTCTCCTGGAAAAAAGGACGGCTCGAGAGTTGATCATGCGCTGGGACAGGCTCACGGAGCTTTGCACGGTGAAACCTCTTCGAAAGGTGTCCGGTTATGACTCAATGAATTGCACGACCGTCGGGCTCAATGCTTCAGATGCTGGGAGAATCTCCACTGAATCCCCGTGAGCAGAAGAGAGGATGGGGGTGGCTCTTTGAGGGCGGCGCGGCGCAAGCGTTCACGGGTTGCGCACGGACTCGGTCGAGCTCAATTAGCACCGTGAGGGATCAGGTATGCCCCAATATCGGGTACCCGTGGGTCACCTCGTCTGTCTGAGGAAAATGTCGTTCATCATCGTGTGATGCGCCCTGAGCAAGCAGAGAGAGCTTCCAAGATCATTAACAAATCCCTCCCTCGGTCACAAAGCCTACACAAGTTGGTGCGGAGCCTGATTCAGTCGACTTTGAGGATTTCCTGGTGAATGCATTAATGTGACTTCGCTCCTCGGCAAGGACTTAGTTCTCGAGATTCGAGGCGAGGGACAGCTTTAGAGCGGAACTCAGACCGCGGATATCAGTTATGACGTGATGTATATACGAGCCGTGTAGCCTTATATGGTGGAGGGATCGAATATCTCTCACAGTTTTCAATTCTTGAAGCTGCCCTCAAGTAGAACGAGTCCCCCTGCGAGTTATCCGTGTTTGCATTGAGACGACGAGTGCCCCAGTAAGAGTAACTGATCTCCATTCGCAACCTATGCAAAAAACAGTGTCCCCAGACTTTGCTTGCTCCTGCGGTCTTCTCCGTTAATTTGGACAAATATTCAAGACTCGAGCTACCAGGATAGAGACGTGCGTCGCATTTGCTGACCACGAGCGGATTCGGCATGTACATTGGTAGCTGGTCAAGTATCCCTCGACACACAATGACTGATTGAGAAAAACTAAAAAGGCCTTGCGTATCCCGGCCGTACCGGAACATTCGATCCGCAATCGATTCGGACGAAAACCTGTGATGCTTCCGGAGGACGGGTCAATTCCGCCTATACAGGTGGATACGGGAGCCGCTCCATTGCTCAACGAGCAGAAGAAGCTGATGATCGCTTCACCCTATGATGCCGCAATCTTCCTAATGATGCGAGGGTCTCGTTTTGTCCGTCGATCAATCGAAAAGATAACCGTGTGATCTGCACGAATGCGGATAAATGATTTCGATCGCTTCGTTTCGGCGGGGGAGCCCGGAAATCAGCCTTCATATACAAAGTCAGTATTGTATTCGGAACGGAAAAACGACGCTGCTTCACAATGAGTGGTCCTCATGGAGGTGTCAGGAATCATTTTTCGTAGATTCATGGCTCGTTGAGATTCTACAAGATTTGCGGTAACTCCTTGATCTGCTCCCGCCCCTCCTAAGGTGGATCCTGAATCCTGATCAGAGGCGGAGCGAAATCGATTCGAACTTCTGTACCATCCCGTACATTGATGATTGGGAGGCGAGGGCTTGCTGTTTCATAACGTGCGACGTACCGCAAGCCAATTGTATCGTCATCATTCCGTAAGGACGAAGGAAAACTCGGGCGCGTATCTCTTCAAAAAGCTAGATTTCCTGTCATATTGAGTCCAGCTCGCCCCCCGAAGGACTCTTTCCGGGTCTGATCATTAACCATGAACGTCAACCTTCACCAAGTTCGTGAAATATTCATTCAGAGCTCTTTCAACCCCAGCTCGTCATTCTGACAAACTCCGGTGGGATTTTTCACGGAAGCTTCCGCGCATGGAAACTACTCAAGCTCATCATGGTCTTCGCGTTCCCGAAAACGAATAAAGTTGAAGCGGAACAGGATCATGTCGTAGAGACTTTTCTGCGTAAAAAAACAGTCACACGAGTCAATGGACCACGTTTATCTGCGAGGTCGAGACAACAACCGAATCCAGGCCAAACAAATATTCCATAAAACGGTGCCATTAAATATTCATGCGATATCCATAGGAATCAGAAATAGATTCAAGTTCGTCAACGACCCCGTGGGTGCGGCGTATATAAATTTCCTAATTTCCGCGCGAATCGTGTCGTGCCGGATGGGGGTCAAGCTACAATGAGCGAAACACGACGAGTTTTGTCATGAGCCGTGAATAATTTACTCAGAAACCCTCTCGAACTCGATATCAGACCTGTGGAGCAATCTGTGAGAAAATGTTCTAGTTATCAGAGGACTGAATTTTCGGGAGATTTCGCTCACTCCCACAAAATTTCACCCCAGGAACTTGGATCGCTTGCTGAGAGCAAGATCTCCTGTCAAGAGATGGTCACTGCGTCCCACTCCTGGCTCGCGACTCGAAGCCGGGTATACGGCGTAAAGGGTTTCGACAAGGCACCCATTTTGGATATGTCCTATCGTCGGAGGAATCCTCCAAAAATCACTTTCTTTCCTCATCCAGAAAAACCGATATGGGGAAGTGCGAATACGACATCAATCCGTTATCAGCAAATTGGCGGAGAGATTCTCTCCGCGAAAGACGAAACCATGTTTCGGGAACCTTGTTGCCTTTCGGGCGACACTGGAGCATTTGTTGACGGAGCCCTTTGCGGTCTGATGTCTCGAGTCCAAAGAACGTGAGCCCATCCAGGAAACGTCGACGGGTGAAAGAGCGACGAGTTGTAGGCAGACACGTTTGAATGGCTTAGAGCGCGCTCGTCGGAGCAAGAGCTACCCTCCTTGATTTCCCGCCTAGAATTCACCGCGAACCAATCGCAGGCGATGGGAGGTTGCCGCTCACTCATGAAGCTCACGAGTATAGTCGCCGTCCAGGCATTGGAATTGTCGTTCTCCGTCCGCAGCGTGTACTCATGGTTTCCCGCGGTCAGCCTCATCCGTGAACGGGTGGTTCCATTCAATGGAACTTTTATCTGACTCCCGGTTGAACTTGCGAATAACGTGGCAGCGATGAGACGCGTGCCACATTCGCGCGCATCGCTGACTCCGCAACCCCCGTAAGGCCTCGCCGAGCGGCCAGCGGAGTTACGCCCCGGTAGGAAAAGTCAGATCCTCGGTATTCTGGGTATCCCTCCTGGCCCGATCCTTGAAATCAGGCTACGAGGAGCGCAGTTCGACTCGCAGAGTTGTTGCACTTCCTTAACGTGTTGGATTCTCGCTTGTCCTCGCCATGGAAGAGAGGAGCTCAACGCCTCTTGGACCGATTCCCTTCACGACTTTCTTTTGAAAGCGGCGACATTTCGATCAAAGAGAAACTTTTGGCCGCGTACGAAGTTGGCTCGAAGTGCCAAACCATTCTCCAGGAGCTGACAGCCTCATGAAGCATCCCCAGAACCCATTTCCTAACATTTCGATTCTGATCGTCAGATCATATGCAATAACAGCTTAAAATTGGCTATCCATTTCCGATATTGTCTCCTAATATGCGTCGTTTCGAGTTAAAGATATTTATCTAGGGATCATGGTGATTTCATTCTGCTTGTTGATCTAGATCTTGTTGCTCTCGGCTTCACTCCTCTGTGGTGAACAGAGAATTCGAGCGATCGTCCGGGTATGACTGGCGCTCTGGGGAATGATCAATGCTTCCTCCTATCCGATTTCCCCTCCCGATCAGACAAAGGCCGACGTAGAAAAAGTTCAACAATCGGACGCGCTCACACTTACCTCCGCGTTTCAGCCGCCGGAGCTCCTATTCTTTCACTCTCCCGCGTTCACCATTGAAAGGATAAGATATAATTCACACCAACGATTATCGGACTTGAGTCCGAGGACAAACAGGTCTTCTTCCGAGCTCGCTTCCACCTGTGATTGTCGTGGTGGCAGTGAGGATTCAGGGAAATCGAGAGAAGCATTCGAGTACCTTTGTACTCCCTTTCCAGAGAAGATCGAGAGAAATCATTCTGAAACAAACATGGAGCCCCACGACGAGTATCGTTCCGAGCTCTACGATCGAAATCTCCGTGTCGTTATTTCGGCACCATCGCTATAGCTCGATCGAGAATCTGAACGAACCGTACATTTTAGTGGGCTTGAAGGCGCTGTCGTTGGGGCAGTCGCGTCCGTCCCTGCCATTCCAGGCGTGACAAGCGTGACTCCGCTGAGGGCAACAGGCACCTTGTACGAGCCATAGCGTCACAGTTTAGTAGAGCAGGACATGCTCCCTCCACAGAAGCGGGGCGATATTTCGACGTCGTGGTGGGCTTTGAATTGCCATCGCTACGATTCTTCTCGGCGCGAGCTTTGTGTTAGGGTAGCTCGAGAACCATCGGCACTCAACCACGCATCCGAACAACCTGTGACTTCTGAGTCCGGGTCAACGCCCACGAAAGCATCGAGGGTTCGAAAAATCCTCGAAGGTGTGGCTCGAGAGCTGTCGAGAAGCGCATCTGGACCCATGGACTGGGTTTCATACCAGAAGGCGGATTCGATTAAAAAGAGAGCGACACTTGACGTTCCGTCAAAATTTGACCGTGCGATCGAAGTCTGGCCGAGAACGAAGGGAATGGCCGCGAAGGACGATAGGAGAAAACCTTGTCACCGAGACGCTAATATGGGTCCTTCCGCATTTGTATGCAGAGCGACGGATAGCAAACCTCTGCCGGTATCGGCCGTAATGAAACACCTCTTCCCAACGACCCGTCCAACCATCCATCTGTACGTCCGATCGTCGTCTCTCTTGATCCCGGAGCAGGTTTTTCCCCTCGTTGTTCTCTTTTTCGATCTCCTCCTCGATCTTTGCATGCCGGTCTCCCTGTCGACCAGACGAAAGAACGGCCGCGCAGCCGGCCGGCCGATGGCTCCGGCCCCACCGGTGATGATAAAGATCAAGGAGGTTTTTGCTCGTCATCCCTTTGCTGCGATTCCTCGGCTTGAATCGGAAATGCCCGTTTCCTGGATAGAGATTACTTACGCCAGCGTTTCATCCTTGAACGGAATCATCAGCCGAGAGATGACGGCAGCCACGGTCGGGATTTCGGTTGATGTGAAGGCTTGATGTTTTTAGCCGACTGTTGCCTGCTTACCTTGCCGGTCCTCCCCCCGCTCCTCCCGGTCTACAGATGATTCAATATCTGATGCTTGGGGATCCGATGCGGGATTATTCCCCTTGGCGACGGTGGAGGACTGTCGACGGCCAAAAGTCCACAATGCGCGGCCTTTCTTTCATCTCTTATTTTCTATCCTACTCGCTCATTCCTCCCGGATTCGCTGCAAAACTCATCGAAATCATTTCACAGGTGAAGTCAATTCCCTGACCGTCGCGGACAGCCTGCACCCCAATGAAGTTACCATCCTCAAACCGATTGCGCCTCCTCGAGCCGCTTCTCCCTGTGGCGATTATGCGGTCTTCCCTGAATATCCTCCTTCACACCAACAGCAGCTCCGTGGATCGCTGGATTTCACTCCTACGCAGCCGATGGGAGACTTTTCGGATTCGTCGACGACCAATACTTCGTTGCAAGACCCCGAGACTCGCTCTTTTCCTGAGAGCCATCGAGCCTTACAGTCTTCCCCGATCACCGAAGCTAAGCAGCATCGGATTTTCAATCCGGCTTTCGACGCAACTCCATTCAAACCCTTTCATAATTCCGGCGCCATGGATCTCACAACTCGACAAAAACACACGAAATCTTCCGTAACGATCTGTTATACCTACGATGCATTTTTCATCTCAGACGGCAGATCGAAGAAAAAGGTCAGTCCGCGAAGATGCCTAGGTCGAACGTTCCTCGCAAATCACTTCGAAACTTTACCGAGCAGTTCGCATATCTCTTTGGACCATTATGAGCGATAATCTGATATATTGATATGCGATGTACACAGCCAACCAAGCTCAAATCCTGCTCGACTGACGCCATACTCGGGGTGATTCCCTCCGCGAAACCGCAAAACGAGCCCGAGGGCCGTTCCAGATACTCATGCTCGGAATGCGGGAAACACTACGCGACGTCATCCAACCTCTCGCGACACAAGCAAACTCATCGGAGTCCAGACTCGCAACTGGCGAAAAAATGTCCCACGTGCAGCAAGGTGAGCTCGATACTCCCGTGTATTAGATACATTGGTATTCCGCCTATGGTTGGGATGGTGGTGGATCTGACGGAGAATAATGGGAACGAGGCCGCCGCATCCCGAAAGAAGAGAAGAAATGCCTCTCGCACCTCGGAGGTCAAGAAAATGCAAACGCTCACAGAGAGCGTTCCCGACTCCGAAGAGCTCCGGCCAAACGACTCTTTGGTGCTTTGCGTTGTCCAGTCGACTCTGTTGCTGCCAACTCTTGAATATGACCGTGAGGCTGACTGGGAGTGCGGGCGTGGCGGCGTGCATCCGAGCGCACGTGAAGGTGAGGATCAAGTCATGAGGCACACGGTCGGTCGGTCGAGCGCTTCATCTGGGTTTGAATAAACGGCTTTTCAACTTGATGCGTTTCACCGACGGTCGGAATGATGAGTGGATTGTTCTTTGGGGTATAATGCCAAAACCCTTGGGATACTCTCTCCGCACAAACGACTTCACATCAAGTGAATATGAGCGGCATGATACAGCTCCGCGGACAAGTCTTGAAAACAATCGTGTGCGCTGCGAGCCCCTGTGTCACAATCGATCTATCATACAATTTATTCCACGTCAGAGAAAATGTCGCAAATAGAGGCGATTCTCGATGATAATTGTTCCTCTGGGTCTAAACCACCCGGTCTGCTTCGAATTCCCAAATGACGAGAATTTTTTAAATTTCTTCAGGTCTATGTGTCTATGCCAGCGCTCGCTATGCATCTGCTGACGCACAAACTCAATCATAAATGTGCAGTGTGCGGCAAGGCTTTTTCTAGGCAATGGTTGCTCCAAGGTCACATGAGATCTCATACAGGTACAGAGAGTTTGAGACAACTGTATATCTCGATTCAGAAGAATTCAGAGACCTTTTTTCACATGTCGAACTCGTTCGCAAAAGCTCAACTCTGAACTTCGATTCCCAGGCGAGAAACCCTTCGGATGCGCACACTGTGGGAAAGCGTTCGCTGATCGATCGAATCTGCGTGCTCATATGCAAACCCATTCCGGACTCAAGTTCTTCAAATGCACGAAATGTGACAAACGTTTCGCACTCAAAAGCTACCTCAATAAGCACATGGAATCTGCATGCATATCGAATTGTGGCTTTCCGGTTGAGAACCTGATCGCCCTCCAGGACGAAGCTCATAGCATGCCGATCTCATTTTTGGGAAATCACTCAGATCTCGCATCAGAATCGATCAATGGAGATAGCCCGTTGCGATACCGGGACTAACGCGTAATAGTGCACGGCGGGAATCGTGAACGAGGATCGTGCGGTCTCAATAACATGTTATCAAAGTTACGAAAGTGGAGGCAGTACTTCTCAGGGACTGATCTGGGCAGGGACCTCAAATTCCGCTTGGATGTGCAAAGATCGAAGCGCTTCTGCCAGAGGCTCAAAGACTGTGTGCTCAGTCCGGCGTGATCACAAAAAGGATTGCATCTGACTGAACCGAGATATTTCCATTCTGCTGGAACACGCCCTGCCTTGATCTAGTCGGAAATCTAGTCGAATAACTAGGTAGTCTCATTGTTGTACTAATTTCTATCCACTCGGAACTCCAGAGAGTTCGAGAGTCGCAGGCGGATCTGTCCAGCTGTTTGAGCTTCTTCCCAAGTCTTAGGGTCGTAGGGTCAACTGATCCCTGCACACATTTAGTTCGCATGTTCGATAGTCCGGGAAACCCACGCCAGTCGAGTTCCCAACGGGTCGATATCGATGGCGTGGTGCGCTCAAGGGAACTAGGCAATCATTGAGCCGGTGAGGATTCGATCCCCACTCCGTGCTTGCACAGTTTAGAATGTTAAATCGGCTAGGCATCTTTTTCGAGCCGGAGTGGCTCATCCGTGACAGCGGATGCGACGCTTTGTGGGCTCCTCGCTGTATCTGATCGAGTCGACTACGGGCTATGAGGAAGAAAGGCATTTACGAGAAAACGGAGTTCACGATGCTGAGCAATCTGGCAACGTGTACTACGGAGCTACATTAATATACAGAATAAAGCTTTCTCCATTGGACCTCCCCTGATGATGGGATGAGCCGTCTTGGTTCGAGTTACCTAGACTCGACCCATTTCGCGAAGATGCGCCGCATAGATTCCATACCAAACCCCTTATGAGATTCCGGAATTGCTCAAGAATCGTACATTCCTAGATCTTACGCCGAGTGCTGGCCGGGATAGCTTCTAAGTAAGCTGCTTTGGAAGCATCTTTGGGAGAAAATTGTCGTGCTTGGTTTATAAAAAGGTTCCTTCATGGTGGTCTGTAGAAGCTAGGAATCCGGTGTAGGCTGGGCTCCGTTCAGTCAGCATCGCGCGTCGACGTGCTCCCTTTCTATGGGAAATCACGGACGGCCTCGTTCCGAATAGGGAGCTCAAAAAAACCTCCTCATTTAGGTCGCTCACCGAGCTTGTTGACCAAATATGGTAATTTGCATTCTCCAATAGCGACGTCAATCGAGCGTGGACCGATCCGCTACACTCTACCTCAGAATTCTACTCGTAAATCGTGGTATCGCCGCCCCCGCACCATGATCAATATTTTCCCCACGTCACAAAGAGGGGTTCCCGCCACGAGCTTCTTGTGGATTTTCCTTGCCTCCTTGGTCACAGCGGTTCTTCCTCAAGCCCGCGTGATCTGTCAAGGGAACCGAATTGTCACCAATATTATTTATCGTGCGAGAGATGTCTGGGCTCCCCGCATAGCCGCCAACTTCACTCCTTTGTACTTGGACGATCCACTGAACGTCGTCTTCATCATTCTGAAGAATTCCAGAGTATACAACGCGAGTAATGTGTACCTCGAGGGAGAAGTTGGTGAGTTTCCCACAATCTCATGGACTTATCAGAGGAGTTATATAAGTTCATTAGTGTCTTTCCCCCAGAGGTGAACTGCACAGATAATTTTTTCATCGAACTGACTTTCCACGTCGGCATTTTCTACCCATCTATATTGTTCGAAATGCATCTTCCGCTGTATCCCGGTCCGGTAAGGGAACTCCTACTCAAGGCTGTTGACTTCGACCGAGCTCTACTTCGAAGAAGAGAACATTGGCACCTCGTACTTAGAAGAAGGGGGTCACGAGGAACTCTCGCTTTTAGGCTGGCAAACTCACCGCTCAATTCGACGATGTTTTCGGAGATGTTGTTTTGAGATTCCCGAGGGTGCGGAATGCCTCGGTACCGTCTTCAGTTACTCGCTTGAACTTGTTGACAGCCTTCAATCAACGATTGACTTTTCGAGGCCTAGGACCGCTTAGTGCTGGCATCTCAACTGCTTTGAACGCTTTCCATCGGATTCACTTCCAAGTCCTTTATATCATCATGCAGACGGTACTGAGGAATATGTTCAAGAACTTCTTCAAACGGTACTCCATACCGGTGTGAACATCGACACCCTGACTGACGGGAAATCCGGGAGTCCAGAACCGAGTGAAATGTACTGGTTTCTCAGTTGCAAAAGATGAGAAACTTCGAAGCGGTGAGATATTGAGGAATCTACCTCGGCGTTCTGAAACTACGATGTGACTCTTGACCCTCGTGACGTTGTCTTTGGTCGTCCACGTCGAAGGAAAATTTCTCTACTCGCTTTCCACCTCGAAGCTTTTTATTCATATCCAAGGCTTCGTCCACATTTTCGTTATGCCACCAAGGGGTTTCTATAATATATTTGGCTGACTCCTCGAGTCTCCGTCGTACTCCGACTTGGAAATAAATCTAAGCACTGCGCTAGGTTTCCTTCGGCGCCTCGTTCAAGCCTCCGTGTACTGTATCCCATATCGCAAGCTAATGATTCATATCTCTCGTTGTGATCAAAGTGATGATGATCAACGCCGATGCTCACGTACTCTACGGAACGCTCTCGAGGACCTCCCGTGTCTCCCGACTTCGTGCTCGTGATGGTGGACGCGGTGGAGATGATGGCCGGTTCCAGAGCGAGCGTAAGCTCGTGGAGGATTTCGGGACCGGCGAGCATCTCCCCGCCTGGCAGCCGATGCGACACGACGACGCCCCATCCTAACGTGACCGATGAGAACATCTGAAGTCACAGAGGAAACGAACTCCCAGCGGACTAGGTGTCTGGGATGCTTGGGGTCTCCTATTGAGTAGGGGATCATGCGCTTTCCTTGTATAAACATTCCTGTAATCCACACCGAAAGCTGTCACACTTCCGGCGACTTCTACGCCGATGAGCGTTCGGCTTCGCTGGGAGCCTCGCTCATGTCCGTCAGTGTTCTTTCCGTCGGCGACTTGAGATCATCCGGTCGACTGGACGCTCTGCTGTCTCCGGTTTGAGTTTGAGCCGACGCTGAAACGACAGCCATCGTTGGCACCGGTACGACCTTCTCGGATTCGAACGTGTAGGCACTTTCGGCGTAACCTCCGACGACACTCTCCGCGTAGCCGGGATATTCGGCAATCTCTTCGGAAATCGGGCTGTTCGGCACAGAATCGTGATCTTCGGGAGACGGCGGCTCGGCCGGAGCTACAGTGTGAGTCACAGTGGTGACTGTTTGTTGTTTCTGGAGGGGCAGACCAATGGTTCGAGGATAGTCCGCCTGCTCTTGGATGGGCCGGGAGCACTTTGCGGCCAAGTGGTCGAAGCTCCGTCCATTGAGAAAGCAAACTAGCACTACCGTCATATTGTCGCAGCCCAGACCTCCCATTGAGGTATCGGGAGCCAGGCATCTCGTCATCAGCTCCTCGCAGATCTGCAAACGAATCAGCATTGAGCAAGATAGCGCGTCGATTAGCCGCCCAGATATGAACGTTAGCTCGTGCCTTCTCGGTCGAGCGGAAGAGACCGCAGGAAACTCACGATTTCTGGCTCCATCCGTTCAGCGAGCCTGACGCGGATGAATCTGACGACTTCCTCGTTGGACATCACGTCCCAAATTCCATCGCAAGCTAGGACTACGAACTCGTGATCGGGTGTCAGCTGAGGGCAGAAGCAAAAATGAGACAAGGCGCTGGAGAGCTCGACAATTCTCATCAGGTGATCTACCGTACATTGCACGAAGCTAATTGTGGCTAATTACCGGCTCTACCGTCACGTCAGGAAAAGCTGTGACGATTTGTTCATGCGCTGGCTTCTTCTCGTTTTTCTTAAAAACGAAATCGCCGAATGCTCGAGAGAGAGCTAGGTTCCCTGCAGGAGAGAAATCTCTCAGCTATCGAAAGCGGAGCGTCGCTGGAAGATCTCGATATTCATTCCCGGCATCATGGGTTCTAACGGGGGAACTCACCATTGACCCGATTGAGATCCACCCAGCCTCCGGCGGCATTTATCCTCTTTGCTTCTTCTTTATTCGAAGGTTTGTGGTCGAATGACAGAGGGACCGTTCGTCCGGCAACACAAGCTACGGCTCGTGAGTCGCCTATGTTTCCGCAGTATATATTCCCCAAAATTTTGGGATCGTCTGAAAAAACTGAGCGGAACATCCTATTCGACACAGTCTACACTCAGTCTGCTTTGTGATTTCAGAGATTTGAGCGAGCACCCTCCGATTGGGAGTGGGAGAGAAACCGTTTGTGATTGATTTCCCAACAGCGAGGTGTGAGCTCACCTCGCTTGATGAGGACAACGACTCCCGTCGAACCCGCTAATTCTTCTTTCATAACGTCATCTGGAAGAACAATCAGGGTTCAGGAAGCGATCAGAACCCTTCGGAAAAGTCGAATGATCTCATGAGAAGTACCGAGAGCCGCGGGCGCAGCATCACTGACCGTTCAACATGTCTTGATCGACTTCGAGGAACGCTTGTTGAATAGCTTCCACGTAATTTCCCCCTTGATAAGTCGGTTGTGCTATGATTTTTCTGGAAGCATACAGAACAGATCGTTCACTATCACGGACGAGCGTCTCGAGCTGGTCCACAGTGATCGATCGAAGCTAGAAATCTACATCTTATTCAGATCATTGAAGTTCCCACGTGGAGGGCCCGAATGTGAGGGAAACTCCAGAGGAAACATTTCTTCACGAGTACCTATGCACATGGCAGCTAGCGTATTTAGCAACTTTCGCGCCTCCGTGGCCGTCGTATACTGCGAAAAACGCCGCGTCATGGTCATCGGGAAGACTCAGGAGATGGGTGTGCGCATCCTCCATGTTGATTCGCCAGCCTTGGAGACATGATGCTCCGACCTGTGGACATTGCCTCGGGTGAATCTTCGAGATCAGTCGCGGAATTCCTCATGCTCTTCCATCACCATCATCTGATCATCTACTGCAATTTACCTTTAGCATCTCGTTCCCACAGCATGAGGTTTCTTTGACCGTTACGGGTTCTGAGAGAGTCTGTCCCATCGTTGAAAATCTCTGGAAAAATACATTCGTCCTCGTCATCATCGATATTTCGAAGGATTCTCGAGTCTTCCGAGCGAGGTTTCCGATACGATCACTATTAAGAACTTTTTGCTCATAAATTATTCGTCATGGATTCAACCGTTCTTCTAGCACGGTAACGAGGCTCATTTCCAACGATGCTCCCAACGTATTCGATGAGCAAAAATCGATAAGGGACCCATCATCGAGGGCAGCAGCTGCGATTCCTCACAAATCTGGTACAGAGCTCCTGGGGATTCTTGATTGATTGACTCTCGGCCCCATTAATTTGGCGACGCCGCCAAGAATCCGCGTCTACTTAAGCGTATTTTCTCGCGATTCACAATCTTCCAGTACTCACAGGTGCGTTGTGATTCTAGGAGATCAGATAGAGTTCATGGGCTTGCTTGAAACACACTGGTGCAGGTATAGCAAAGAAGTGATGTGATTTTTGTGAGCTATCCCTCTTGTTATCCGTGGGTGCGCGTTCCGGTCGCTGCCTACGGTAGGGGAGACTTGTGTCTGTATCGAGTGCGACCCAGCTGCTGACAGAGGGTTCTCCATCGGAAGCGAAAGGACAACGAGGAGGAACCGCACGACCCGGTCCTGCGCTACTGATGTGTCAAGCTTTTCCCGCCAAAATCCAGCGACGGCGCGGCGGTCTTTTCCTCCCTTCTCATGTATTTCGTCTCGCCCCTCAAACAGATAACCATCCCTGTAGCTACGTCGATACTTTCGATATGCGTAAACCGCAGCCCGGTGGAAATACGCGAGCGGCTGATGGTCCGGGGACCTACACATAAATCGACCGAGGGAAGCCCTGCGATTCAGATCTACCATCAATATTAGGGACACAGGACAGTAGTCGGCTACGAGCGAATGCTGCACATGTGACTGGACAAAAGAAAGTTGGTGCGCAGTCTTGACCTAATCATATTTGAGATCCAATCGTGAGCTCCAGATCAGAGATCCACATCGAGAGAAAGAGGGAGCTTTCATTCAGAGCTGCGAGCAAAGGGATTCCGGAATGGGGGGACTTGGTCAGTGCAGGGATAGTAATTGCAGAAGGAGAAAGAGTGTAGGCAGGGCCGTGGAGCACAATTCTTGGGAGACGAGACAGGCGACTCTATGACGGGGACACTGTGTGCCTCTCCAAATCCGTGATGGATCGGAACCGATCGCTTCCTCTGTGAATGGAATGAGGCTCCAGATTTTGTTTTGCAAACTCATTACTTCCCCTCTGCATCCCTCTTTTCGGTCTGACCCTCCGAACGGTCAGTCTCCCCGTCGAAGTCTCTCAGTTTCTCTAGTCCATGGACTTGCAGAAATCGTTCGATGAGTTCGAACTCATCGCTCGGTTGAGGATCAGGTAGGCGTGTGGTACGATGCAAATGTTTGCCTCCGTCTCTAGGGCCTCAACTTACGGCTATCGCAATCGTATGCTTATCCCGCACTCGGAATCCGCCAAAGCATTCGCTTGATTCTTGACTGATTGAATGATATTCCATCCCCTCCATCAGAGATGGATCTCTTCAGGAGTACATCGGAACACTGAGCCATTCATTCTAATTACGAAATTTCACTAATGAGCTAGACTATGCCGGTATGGGGAGGATCACCAAAAGGCATCTCCCAGTTCCGGTCGATGACTTCATGGGGACCAGAACACGCAATACGGTTTGCCCCTCAGCCAAATCCGTAAATACCCTGACTGAGCTAAATTCGACCCACGACTGCCTGATTTTGAGTTCTGAGGATTGACTTACCGTGGAGGTCTGTATCAATGCTAGAAACACATGGGAAGGAGAAGCGGGAGGTTCTCGAGCGCTAATTCTCTCAATGACTCGGGTACCCCAAAAATATGTATCAAGGAATCTATTCTTAAAATTTTTTATTCTTCTTCGGTGTATGCTCACTCCTCGCTCAAATACAAGGAATGCAATAGATTCGAAGCCTACACTGACTCCTTCCGTCCGACTCTCGTCCTCGGAATCTCTCGGAGGTTACAGAAGGAATGTTGCAGAAGTACCTAGTAGTAATGCAGAATCTCCGATAATTTCTCCGTGATACTTCCGAACGCAGTCTGGGCGTTCCCAGAGCTCGACGGAGAACTTATGGCGTCTCTTCAGAGTTCAGAGCCATCACAGGCGGCGATGAGAATTCTTGAAATACTCCCGTGGCCAAGCATGAAATCGTTTCCTCCTTTATGTGTTCGTTCAAAAGAGAAGAATGAGCGATCTCAATAGAGATTCTCCGCGTTGTAGTTTCGAGGTTTCTGGATTTTCCCTATGTTTTTCGTCAATACATCGTGGAGAAGGATATAATCGTTCCGGAGTTGTCGCACAAACATCGTAACATGGAGATACTGCTTCTGGTCAACTTCCAAGACGGTTCGGCGGAAGTCTTCAACGCGTGGATACCGAGTCACCTGGAACGCAGAAAACGATCTCAAAAGAGCGAACGATTTAGCTAATCGCACTAAAGTTCTGAGACGATGAGCTTCTTTCTTATGAGGAGTTCACAGCATTCCCAACAGGCGAGATCCTACTTTGGAGACGGCTTTTGCGCGCGTCAGGTAGTAGCGAGTCACTTCATCGATGTACGAAGCCGAATCCTTCTGAACGCCGGAAACTTGATCGAGGCATGATTCCTGAAACGAAAATGAGTCTTGGCGTGAGCGGAAGTCCGATCGAGTCAACACAGCGATGAAGCTGTTCAATGGAGCCACCTGTGTTATTTTTCGGGCCGAAGGAAGCATACCTGGATTCCGACCCCGAAGTTATTCCCATCTTCGACTTTTGGGATCAGTAACTGGATCCACATTTTCAGTAGGTAACAGTCATTCACCTGAGACGAATGGGTACCTCTTAGAATTGTGTATTCAACTTAAGAATTTGACACGATCGCATAAAAGCCCAAATTAAACTTTCGGATGCAGACCGACCAGTTGTTCGGCGAGGGGTTCCACAACTTTGTGTAGACGTTCAAGAGTTTGGTTCAGCCGAATTTCAGCACCGGGTAGCATTGGGAGCTGGAAACCGTGGAAATCTCAGATTTGAGACCCTCGTCTAATATCGTAAGCGGGCAACGCCATCCTTACTCGTCTTTTAGCTTCGGGGTCAAGATCAACTTGAAAAAAAATCACCGTGTCGACTTTTTCCGTCGGATCAAGTTGATAATCCCCCGCTCCGTCGACCTGGAAGGTGAAATTTCAGGTGCTGGCAAAAACAGCTCCTCAAGCTATCCGATCAATTCCGGGACTCCTCCCTCCGCCTGGAACGCGGTCGCCATGAGATGTGTTGCCTCACATCTCTCACCTCATTCCTTCCTGTGGGTTCGGGAGCATCTACAAGCAAGCCGTACTGATCTTGATCCAGTATTTTGAAGTCCGGACTCTTAAGAACCTGGAAAGCAAAATCGGACCTCGTGATATGGATGCCGAGACAAGCAGCGCGCGTATTGTGCATCTCATGATGATCTACCATGATTCACCTCATCCAAATTGAGGATCCTTCGAGGAATCGTCTTGAAGATCAATTTTTCCGCATCTTCCATCATTGAGCTCTTCATTTCCTTGAGCTGAAACAATTCTCTGGGCTCGGAGAAATACAGAAACTAGTATTCACTCTATTCCTCAGAGTTTTCCTTCAGTAGTCGAAAGTCAGCGTTTTCCCCCGAGGCAGATTTGTCCCTGATGGTTCTTGGTTTCAGGAAAGGCACCATATCGCACCCATCTTGAAGAGATCTACTCCTATCAAGTCAATGCCGAAATTCATCGGGCTTCAAGACCCCGAGGCGCCCCTCGAAACGAGTCATTTCTCCCCAGAACCCTTGCCGTGTAGAATAGAATCCGAGACATGGATTCCTCGAGACATATGTACTACCGCCGATTGAAAGACATCTCCGATTGGGAACATCGCTGCCGCTTTCTCGGGTACCTTTGCCGTGGCCTCAGAGGCGGGGATTCGAACCTCCGGTGTGGAACCGCTTGAAGACATTGGTATTGAATCTGAGTTTAAGAACTGCTCTATGAGGGCGAGGAGGCCCAGCGTGGATTCTCTAAGAATCCAGAACTAGACAGAAAAAAAAAGCTTCTCGTTCGCAGAGCTCCACACGCTACTTAGCGTCAACCTCCGACGTCGGCTATTTTGATTCCGATTCCGCTGTATGCACAGAACACAAAGCACTCGTCAAGTCTCATGTTGTTCTCTTCCCCCGCTCCACCGCGCGCTTTGCTCGAGATGCACTCGGAAGGCGAGTTCGGAACGCCGATGCGATTCGGATTGGTCAAGGCTCAACGTCTGAGTGCCCCCGCCGCTTCTGATTCAGCAACCGCCCCGCAGAAATGCAGGAACTCTCGGATTCCTCAGATACCCCGCTCCTCAGAGAACACCCCGATAGGCGTCAGCTTCCGGGTGCAGCATAACAAAAACAATGGCTCGGAGCCGCTCGTGTCTCGCGTATCGGCGCAGCACGTGTTGATTCTGTCCAGACTTCTTGTGCTTGTGGGAAACGTTCCGAAGATGAGAACGGCGGAAACTGGTGGTGACTCTCCTTTCTCTGTCTGCGGAAGATAAGTTCGAGTCTCAAGGTAACGTGTCTGTGCGTCGTTCACCACCGACAGAGCAAAACGCACACGATCGAATTCAGAGGTGAGAATCGAAAGTATGCGCGCCTACGAGAGGAGGGAAGTGAGCTGATGCTCCGAAGAGGAATTTCATATATTTGGGACATCCAAGGAACCGTGAGCCAAGGCAAATCTTTTTTTCAGGAAATTGGACGACACTACGTCGAGAATGTCGTCAGAAGAACTCCGCTTCGCTCAACATCTCGCCTCAAATGATCGCAAAACGCGCGACAAGACTCTCGTGAGACTTCGAAAATGGATCCATCTGCGATCACAGAAGGAAACTGACGAATTCAACAAGGACGGGATGATAAAGCTGTGGAAGGGCTTATTCTATTCGATGTGGATGGCCGACAAACCTCTGATACAGGAGGAACTCGCGGACAGCATTTCCAGTTTGATCCATGCATTCTCCAAACCATCACAGATCTACGTTTTTGTGGGATGCTTCTTCAAGATCATGGGGGAGAAACACGATCACATCGACAAGTTCCGCATAGACAAGTTCTTGATGCTGACCCGGAGATTCTTCAGGTCAGTCGAGCATTGATCTGCGGCTCGACATTGGGCACGATGCCTCCTGGGACTCTCTGATTTCGGATCGGACGAGCAGGAGGCGACTCTCACGGTAATCGCGATCCGACGGACGCCTAAAGCTTGAGTATCTTCCAGAGAATCGTTGAAGTATTTGAAAAACCGTGACTGGCAACACAAACACGTGCAGAAATACCTCGAGACTCTGCGGGAGAGCGTGCTCGCCCGGAGACATGATGCTTCCCAGGTCGCCTTGGGTTTCAAACTCCATTTCTTCGACATATTCCTCGAAGAAATGGCACGGATCGGTGAGGGAGAACTGCCGCGTAAACGTGCCCACAACTTCTTGGAACCTTTCTACGAGGTAAGGGATCGGATATCCCATATTTCCTGATCACCGAGGAACCCATCGAAATATCGAGGATCTAGACGAGATTGCCCACGGAGATCCTCGGTTGACCTCCCCAATCGATCCATCCTTACAGATCTTGGCGTACTGCAATAGTCCGATGGTGGTGGAGGGTGTTCGGGACAAAATCTTCCATGAGCTCATAAAGCTGAGCTTCGGCGCACGCACAGAAGGAGACTCGGAGGGCGAGGATGCCGAAGGTGAGTTGAATTTCCAATATCCTGGATCCGATCCTTCAGAGATCGAGCTCTGCCGGAGAAGAACTCTAAGAGCGCGGGTCCGAGACTCAGCGACGAGGAAATGACCAGAGTTTGCTTCCGTAGGTTTCTTTGATGACGAGCCCGAAGTTGACGACGAAGCTTTGGACTCGGACACCGGTGAGGTAGCCGGACCAGTCAGCGAGGATGAAGATGAAGACAAGTTGGCGAAGCGTAGGAGATCAGATGAGGGTTTCATCGCGGACGAACGTAAGAGCATCCGCATATCCCAATTTTTGTTATCGGTATACTCCGCACGCGAGGGAGGCGAACGAGCCACGAGGAGGGACAGGGTCCCCGGTCGTATCCGAAGTCGACCTGGCTGGTTTCCGAAGCATCAATTACCTAAGTTTAGAAATCGATTACAGCCGTCGCGGGCGACGCCGATGGAGCGAGCGAGGACGATGGGGATCTAGAGGAACAATTGATACGTGAGCGGGAAGACGCCGCCGAAGTCATCCTCCTCCCCATTGATTTCGACCTCTCTGCCATAAAAGAGTCGCTGATGGAGTTCCTGAAAGTTCCTTCGCTCAAAGGACTCAATAAGCGAACGCTCCACAACATTGTCAAGAAGGTTTGCAGTTCCCGCTGTTCTCCCGCCCCTGATCACCGGCTTGTGAGTGCTCACATTCCCAAACATTCTCCTGGATACCTGTTCACCGAACTTTTTTCCAGATTATCGACCTTGAGAACGGCGTGAATCCGTTCGCCGCACCCGAGGAAGATAGCGGCTCTGATCTCGAACTGGACGAGAATGAACTCAGACTGGCGGCTAAAAGATTGAAGCTTCTGGAGAAGAAGTACGCGGACGAGGCCGAGAATTTCCTCCTGCCCGATAAAGAGGAGCAAGAGGAGGACGACGTCGACGATTTTGAGATCGATGGTGGAGAAGACGATCTCGAAGAGCTCGAGAAACCAATTGTGGGGAAGAAGAGAAAGAGTCGGAAATAAATCCGCTAAGTGAGAAGAATGCTTGTTATCAGAGCTCTTCCTTTCCAACCTCTCATGCGCGCCACAAGAGGTCGACCTGGTTAATCGTCGTGAATCCTCTCGAGACATTCCATGGTGTTCCGATGGGACTGAGTGTGAGAACCCAATAGATTCTCCAGACTCACGCAGGATATCCGAACTTCAGCCGTCTTGACGCACCCAGACACCGGGGGAACACGGTTATAACGGACATATTGCTAGATCCCGGCCAACCCTCGGGGGCGTAGATGACTCGACCATGGTGATTCCGGGAGGGGATACTCGGATACGTAGACAAAAGTGATTCCTGGGTCCCGTCTCGTCCCCTGTGACCTCGGGATCAGTCATAAGTCATAAGTAATCTGTTCTTGCTAGTTGGAAGGTTGGAGGCGGTAGCCCGCTCGATGATTTGTACGCTTTCTCGCAGGCTAGCGCATCGTGACCAGGCTGCGGCGATGATGGTTGACCGCTGTCGCATCCTATTCCATCTTCTCGGAGCTGATATTCGGCTTCAACGCTGTCACGAGTCACGACGAGGTTTTCCTGTATTCAGACGGCATTCGATCAGAATTTAGGGATTCGATTAGGATTCAGGAATTCGGGAACACCGACTACGGCTGCTCCGCGGATTCTTGGGAATCCGGATAAGCCATGACCTTTGAAAACGACCCGGGTTTCGGCACGCTCGCAACTCAATGAGATCGCTGTGTGAACATAAGAATTTTGTCTTGCGATACGCCGCCACCATGACGAGGACCGATGCCATCCCAGCTTGAGCTTTTCATAGTCGGAGCATTTTTCCACCAATACCTAAACCGCGGCGAGCGGTGGACCGACTGTTTTCTTTTTCCCGCTCCGGCTCCGTGAACGCCTACTGACGCCAACAGGCGAAGCTCTCTCATGAGTGGAAGAGCGCACCCATCCGGGATCCGATTCATTCCGATGTACCGATGCTCGGCCGGGGCACTGCGCGTGAGCCGAATATTCTATCCGAAAACCGTCGCCGAGCTGTGTAATTTCCTGAGGGGTCCTCCGCTACCATTCTGACGATATTCTATTCATACGTTCGATCCATTCGGGAAGGAATATTCTCACAAGCTCCCTGGGGTACAAGAATACCCTCGGAACAGGCTGGAGTTTCCGACGGGGACAACCCTGTTCGAGATGAGATCGGCCCCGACCCTCTGGTTCTATGAGTTCATTCCTTGGTCTTTTGCGAACATTCCCCGGATCAGCGGAGAATTCATGTAATGAAGAACTAGAGCTCATTTACAGCTCTATCCGGATCACGTTCGATCGGAGTCCCAGAGTCGGTGCCCGCAATGCTTGACACGAATCCTGCCAAGGTATCTGTTCCAGGGTCGTCCAGGACAGAAAACAGGTTTTGTTCCATGGTGTCGACACGACCCGAAAGAAGAACAGCGAAACTCAACCCCAGATGTCGGTCAAGAGTATCGAAAGCGATGCATATTGATGAGAGTTCTGTGGCCTTGTCCAATTGTGCAGAGCAAACGGTAGGGCTATCAGCAGCAGCCTTCTCTTCCGGTCGGGTTTTGCAACGGGCTCATCACGGAGTGGCAGACTTCGACAGCTCGCGAGATGTTTGATCGCCTAATAGGATGTAGCAGGATTAGTTCACTCCGCTTTGAGGGTCGATCTGAACACACTGTCTCGGTGTTGTTATCATTGGGATCTGTTGCCGCACCATTGCTAATGTTGTCAATTCTCAGGTTTACCCGCACCCAAAGTCAACAAGGCAGTCAGCCCTTCTCGCCCTCGTACAGGCAATGGAGTGGACTCACCTCGCCATGTCTTGCTTAAATGAGAGCCATTGGCACGGAGCTCGAACACTGTTTGCGTTCGTGAGCGCAAACATGGTCAGCTTATTGGCTGTTTGTTTAACGTTCGGTTTCTTCGCATCTTCGTCACATGCTAGACGTTCCCGGGATGGATTCAGTGAGTGAGACTGGAGACTGGCTCGGACTTCCGGCTCTGGTCACAGGTCACAGTGACCATCTGCTCTTCCCTCGTTTAACGAGAGGCTCGGACTGGCCCGGATTACCTGTGGCGTGAGACCTGCATTGTTGACTTAGAGTAGTCTGTGTCCTGAGTAGGGTATGCAAAGCGATCGTTCCTCGTCTGCGATTTCATCGGGTCCCTAAAAGCTCGCGATGGGAACCCGATGTCGCGGAACCGAGCTCGCAGGCGACAGCGATCGAAAACCTCTTCCGTGAAGCGTTAATCCATGATTGCATTGACGTTTGACGAAATTCCTACGTTTTACGTGAGACAGAAGCACCATCAGTCGTCAGATCATGAGGACAGGAGAGCGATAATTTTACGCGGGGAGTGCTGGGATCTGAATCTGACTCCTCTTCGAAAAAAGCTCAAATATAGATGACACGTATCTCAACTAACTCACGAAGAACTCTCTACAGCTAAAGAAAACATGGATTTCCCCTGCGGTCAACAGAAAATCTCAGAGCGAATCGTGGGCGGTGGGAAAGCTCAGCCCGGCCAGTTCCCCTGGCAGGTGTCTGTCCGAAGGAACGGCTATGGAATTTGCGGAGGTTCCATTATTTCCCCGACTGAAGTGATCACCGCAGCACACTGTGTGAGCTCGTACGTTTCCCTTCGAGAGAGTTCTCGCGCTAGAGGGAAGCGCAGAATACTTCGATGAGCTCCGATTCACAGAAGAATGCATATAGAGCAAAGTTTTGACCTATCTTGGTGGGAATTCTGTGAGAGAATGATTTCGCTCTGACATGGATCCTCGGAGTCCACCTGATTATCATGCGATGATCCACCTGAACACAGAGTCATTCCAACAGGAGCACAGCAGAGCGATACCAAATCATCGCCGGAGCGACGGACTTCACTGAATTGAGGAACACCACTCAAGTTTTGCGGGTTCGTCTCAGTAGTTTACGGTTCCTCGCGAGCAATCGTTGCCTTGCTTGTCTCGGTGATATTGACATTTCTCCCCGATCCCGATACCTTTGCGACCTTTGGTCGGAATCGATGTGTCAAAGAACGAAGGAAGCGAGTTGTTGTGCTCGAGCTTTTGCTCTAGGTTGCAGAAATAATCGTCCATCCGAAATATGCGGGGCTCATAGCCGTACGATACGACGTAGCGGTCCTCCGTCTTGACGGAGCTCTGGATTTCGTGAATTCGGAAGGAACGATCGCTCCCATATGTCTTCCGAAAGCCTCTCATCAAGTCGCAGGCGAGGTCACAATCACCGGATGGGGTCGGACCAAAGAAGGTGGGTATCGAATGTATCTCGATCGGCGTCGCTCTCTCTTGAAAGTAACGAAATTGAGAAAGAATCATTACTCACGCTAATAGGAGCTTGCCCCCGAAATTTCTTCCTCCAGGAGGCAATACTTCTAGAGTTTTGAATGCTGTCACAGTGCCAGTGATTTCTGACACGATGTGCCGGGTTTATCTCTCCCGAGGCCTGGTCGCGATCCTCTTCGCGCCGTATGATGGAAGCTCGATGTTCTGCGCCGGCAGATTCCGGGGAGGAGCTGATTCGTGTCAAGGGGATTCGGGAGGTCCGGCCATCCAAACTGTAGACGGTGCGTAAATTACCCGTGTGGAGCGAAGCAATTGAACGAATAATGCAAATGACCGTGAAAGACCCTCCGCAGGAAAATCAACTCTCGTCGGTATCGTTTCCTGGGGCTTCGGTTGTGCGCGGATGATGTCTCCTGGGGTCTACGCCGAGGTCTCGAAGTTCCGCGACTTCATTGACGCTCATTGGAGTCTTGAAGGAAGTGTACAGGGTCGACGGTGAGAAAAAAATTTCCTTGTCACCCTCACGATATTACTGGATTGCGAATGGCTCGAGAGCCCGTGTCGATTCAGAGAATATTCAATCGACGGATCGTAGACATAACAAGATTCCATTACAGGCGGAGTACCACAGCACGCCCGACAACCACTGCAGAAAATCCGCAGCTGACAGCTGGGAACATCACATTAGTCAAGCCCTTGGGAGAAGATAGCGGAGCTGACTTCATCAGTGTGGAATCTCTTCAGAATAACAGCCTATCGAATAATTGAGACCGCAGCTCACCATTCGAGCTGTCGGACAGGGAATTTCTCCAAAAGAAGCTCATCATGCTCTCTTGTTCATTCATCGGGCTCTGCGTCCCGATTCCTCGCATTCCCGCGGTGTCTGATCTCCGAGCCGAAATCGAGCAGAGCCTGGATGACCTCTCATTAGGGATGATGTTTTCTGCGGATTGATATTCTCGATCAGATAGTTCTGATGTACACCTACACTCTCTCGGAGTAGCGAATTTGCATTTCCCTTTCGGTTTTCTACTTCATCTATGAATATTTATTCCTAGGCCTTCATTCCAAGTTGGACACGACTCTCATTATCCTTTTAGGTCATTCTTGAATATATCGTTAGCAAGAAGAGCAATATACGTGGATAACTATATACCGGACCCTTCGATTTCGACTGGCATTTATACGCGCGTCTAGGAGACCCTTGATATTCATTGACAGAACTCTCCGGGAAGCTCTTTCTCGCCGTGGGATATCGGATATTTTCCACACTCATTCGGTCGAGAGTCCCTGCGACATGATGTCAAAGACGACTTGGGGCCATGTTCATGTGGAGTCGCCTCAACGGAGAGGTGAATATAGACCTGAGCGGTGTTCACGAATCATTACCCTCCCGAGCGTGGTATGAGGGTATATCACACATTCGATCAATTCTGGCGGACTTAAGCGCCATACCGCGGTTTGGCGCGATCGCTGCGAAATTCGAAGGGTTACGTGATTCTTCTCCGAGCAGACGGTCCTCACCCTCGGTGAACCCATTCCATACTGGCTGTCTCGCAATAAATGACCGATCGAACCCAATTTACCGGGTATTCGAAGTGCATGAATCCAAGCTATGGCTGAGATTGAAAATGGGCGTCGAATGAATTAATCTGATCCTCTCCAGAATCTTGTGCTACCCTTGAAACCCACCCAGCGATCTTCGCGCGGCAACGCGCAATGCCGCGAACTCCTCATCCCTGGAAGAAACAATGAATTCATATGCCTAAAGCTCAGGTCGTTCAAACCGTCCGTTCCGCCGAGATGGAATGCTTTTAGACCATTGTGTGGTCTTCCGCGGCCTGCGTGCTGGGATTGCGCAGGGGGATGAGTGCGGAAAACTTGGACCGACTCAAGTAATCTATCGATTCCATCGGATCGATTCCAATTCATTGGTGATCACTGATCAGTGATCATAGTTGAGACAATGATGCGGCAAAGGGTGATGAATTGACCGAAGAAAAATCAATGAGTTATGTGATCGCACGAGAGAAATACAAACGGCCAGAAACGATTCCTATTCCTCAACAGCTGAAGGTAATCCGGGGGAGGATCGGCCAGACCTGCCGTGTGGGAGAATTCGAGAACAGGAAGAGCGCACCATAAATGGATATGACTCCGAATTCATTTGAAGTATATATATTCGATCACCGTGTACAGAGCTCAGTGACAGCTTTAATGAAGCGATTCAAAAATATCGATGGCGCATCGACATATACATATGTACTGTTGTAGACGAAGCTTCGCGTAAGTCAAAGTTGGTCAGTTTTTTCTTTCGAGAATCACAGTGACTCCTAGATCCTGTGTTTCGAATTTCTACATCCGGGAGCATCGCAAGATTTCGAACCTCGACAAGGGTGTGCTCTTTACATCATCAATGTGCGTGGGCGAGTCCCGGCGTTCATCCGCTCCGATGTCGTGATAAAACGACGTCGACTGCTCACAGCCCTGGACGTATGCGATAACCCTTTGTGCATCCATGCTTAAGCAAAACCCACTTGTAAGGGATATCTAAGTCGAAGGACACTCCGTCCTTTGTGATCACACGTGGTAGAAACTCTGCGATACCTTTCGCCAAAGCTATGTCGGTTTCGAGCTCCGACTGCTGTTGGTTCAAACCGTAGAGTCTGTGGTGCTGCTGATGGAAGTCAGCGTAGCATGCGATAATCGGCCGCTCCAGGAAAATTCCCCTGTCCGAAAGGGCTTCCCGACTCTCCGAGAGCTTCGCGAATTCCTCACTCAGATCCTTCCAAGCTTCATTCAAGCGATCCAGAATCATCCTCGAGTGGTCACTTTCTTCCTTAGACTCATTCGAGGGCTCGGCGGATCCCTCCTCCTTGTGTGTTCCGTTCGCGATGAGAGCGTCAATCTCAAGGTCCACGATCCGTCGTCTGGCTAATTCTTCCCGAGTCTTCGAATCGATTACCTCTAACCGCGCAGATTCCAACGATTCTTCCAAACTCGGGCTGGGTTCATTCTCTCTTCGGAAAGGCCACACCTCCTGCCCGCATCTCTCTCGGATCTCGCGAGCTTTATCGGGGTCGTTTCGGAGCCGAATCAAAACATTCGCATATCTTTTCGTCTTCGCCAGAGCGTTTTCTGCTTTTTCGAGAGCCTCCCTCGATCTCCTGAGGGCTTCCCTTGACTTGATCGCGGCTTCCAAAGTCTCTGCCTCGAAATTCGCCATAGCGTCCGAGGCTCGTCTGAGAGCAGTCCTAAACTCACAAATTGGAGCTCGCGACATAACTTGGACGTAGATGGCCTTCGCGATAAGTTCTTGCTTCATGCCTGCCTTGGCTCGTCCCGGCCATTCGAGAGATTCTTCCACTCTCCTCACTGCTTCAGTCGCCACTGTCGCGGCCCCAGATAACGAAGGATGGCAACTCCGGAGTTTCCTTTTCACGATTTTCCACCACTCGTACATAGCGTCATCCGACTCAATCAATGCTGCATGCATAACTTCAAGAGCTTTTCTCGAATCTCTCAAAGCTTCCAACGCCTCTTCTTCATGTCCCTCGTCCGCCATCTCGGATGCCGCTGAATCCTTCACGGACCTTTCTGAGACTCTGGAAGCGGTCCCAGGCTGCTTTGGGATTTCCACCCTAGAGAGAGGCGCCTTATGGTGAGATCCTGCTCCGCCTTCGTCGTTGGTCTCGCCTGCGATCGGGGAACCGATTTTAGAGGGAAGTTGGTGATATAAAGAGGACGGATCCACACTTTCAACGTGGGGAAAATGTTTGGAGAGGAGGAGTCGGCAGGGAGCGAGGCTCCTCCAATCGCAATATCCTCTGCCTTACATGAATACGGTACTGTGACCCACTCAGAAGCATCGGCATCCTGGATCTCCTGTAAATAATTGAATACTTTGTCTACGAGCACGAATCGGGCCGCATGATCGATGTTCAGGAGAATTTCCTGAGCCGAGCTCTAAAGCTCATGAGGAAGCAGCGCTCTCGAACCTCGGGTTGACTTTGGCTGTTCCCCATCCTTCTCTTGGAAAGATCGCCCTCTGAAACGGGGAATTAGTCGTCATACCGGAATTCTCGACGATTCTCAAATTTCACAAACCGGCAATTTACTGAGCATCTTTGACAATGAAAATCAGGACATCGCGGAATTGAACGGGAGATGGACTGGATACTCTCGAAGACGAGCTCGAGGAATACCAGGGATCGAGGGGTCCTGCCGAGACGAAAAACGGAAACGAGTCGATTCAACACACCTGAAGATGTTGCTTTTCGGAAATTCCGAACACGAATACCTCAGCTGGGATGAAAACACTGGCTCGTGAGCCGAGTACGGTCACTCGAGCGGTGATCCGCCGCATGAAATCGACCCCAGAGATACCCGGGAAGTTTCGAAGATGGAAAAGCGCATTCGATCGCAGATCGACCCTCACGGTGAAGTCTGTCCGCTGATCACGGCTCGGAAACATGAGTGCATGTTCGCGTTCAGCCGCGGAGAAGCACAGAGAAGTAATTGGCGCGCAATCGCGGCAAGCGCTTGGAACAACTTAGGACCGAGAAAAGCACGGCGGCTACTGAAACGGTCGGGAGCTGCGGATCGCCCGGGTCGCGGAATCCGTCGCGAGGGCATCGTTCCGAGCACCCCCGGAACTGAAACAAATGTACGGAATCTATTGAATCAGTCTCTAGCCTCAAACAAAGGCGGCCCCGGATCGAACCCGACGATACTTAAGCTTCGTCGATTTCAGGACTCATCGAGCCAACCGCGTCGAGTCACCACTCAGGCGTGCCTAATCAGGTATCGCCTGGGATTCGCCGATTACAACTCATTATTACCGTGATGATTCGAAACGAGCTCGAACCATTTGGTGGAGGATATGGACGAACGGAATGGAGGGACGCTCAGAGGTACTCTGGATGGCTGGGCCATCGCCTCGCATGCCATTGAAGAACGCATCGCAGTTCAATCGACTGACTGGGACCCCGGGCCGGATCCCTCGGGTTTTGGCGGGCGTGTACGGGTAAAGGTCGGAGCCCCGGGGACTTAGACGACGGATGGTTCCACATGGATGATAGGAAGTTCTGACGAACGAAAACTCTGGTATGCTTAGCGTCAAAGAAGGGTCCGTTGGCTCGATCGACCGGATATCGGTAGGAAAGGGCCTCCAGAATTCGGTAATTTGATAAGAGCTTGAACGATGTCGTAGAAATCCAGACGATTCTGCACGGATCGGGGCTATCGAAGTCGGATACACTACGGGGTGAAGTGGCGAAGATGGGGTATCCGGAAATTCCATCTCGCTCTCTAAGAAATATTGGCAAACACTCCGCCAGTGACCATGATTCGCGACCCTTTCAAAACTTTCTCGGAACTATCCGACGACGGACGATTGACAACCCTGCTCCGACTTTTTTTTCACAGATCAGGTTCCTCCTGGAGGTTTCCCCGGTTGCAGCGATTTTTTTTCCACTACGTATGTGGACAAGTCTGCCGACATTGACCACTATTCAAAAGGGGGCAAAATATTCCGATTTCCAGGACGCTGACCTTCCCCGGATCGGGATGCGGTGGACAGGGGCGCATCCCGGCTACATTGGTCGCGGGCGAAGGAGCCTCAATCAGACATGGCATGTGAAGCATCGGCATTGGCAACGATTGGCTAAATCCCCGATCGAGATGTTCCTTTCGGCCGGAGCTAACAAGTATATTATTTTGATCAATGCACATTTGGCGCTCGTCGATCATTCATGAATTCAGACAGCAGTCTCGGGCTTCGGATTCAGGTAATCGACCCTTTCTCGAGAAACCACATGCGTCGACCATCCAGCGCTGATGCTCTAGGCCGGCATGATCTCTGTAGGGAAGGTCCTCGATCGTCAGCCCTCTCAGAATAGGACGAATGGCGGTTTGAGCTGATAAATACGATTTTGTACTCTAGCCGCATATTTGACTTTCGTCTACATAGGTTACACATATCAATCCTCTATTTCGTCTGATGCTTGCTCCTGCACTCTTTCTCGTTGAGCGCATACGAGCCGGAGGGGTTGGGTGATCCGGGATGCTTCTGAAACGTCGACTTTGATTGTCTCTCCGCCGCTTGAGAACTAGGAATTAGTCAGGGATTAGGGGACAGTATTGCCCAGCGACTCTCCGAACGCAGGCAGATGCTCTGTACAACCGCCGACATGGCTTCTTCCGCCTAGGATCACCATTCGAAGCATTTCGGGTTCTCGACAGGCTAAAAGCGTGGGGAATCGTGGTAGGAATTTTATCTTTTAATTTATTTAACGGATCTCGGATTAATCGCGACTCCGGCGACGCACCTCGTAGCCCCGACCCCCACCAAGGATTCGGTCCTAACATGAGAATCGTTCGCCCGATGATGGAGCGGGAGCGAACCTCTGTCTGACTTCATTACCTGCATCAATGTTCGTCTCCGTTTGATTCTATTCTTGAAACTTACGACAAGGCCTACGGAGAAGAGTCCACGAGGAAGGGAAGGGAGGATGGCATCCCTCGTCGACCCAGCGGTCGGGAATTTCCAGAGCATCCGCAATGGCTCTCGACGATTCTTTGTCTATCTCCAACTGCGACTGCTGTCCATTGAGTTCACAGACTTCCTCATGTTGGCGGAGGAAGGCTGCTTCAAGCTCGCCGAATCGCCTATCTAGATATTCGTATCCTCTGACCCTGAGAGCTTCCCGAGCCCTGGAAAGGATTTCGAATTTTTCCTGAAGGCCCTCCCAGGTCCTATCTACCGCTTTCTGGGTTTCACACGTCCCGACCTGCCGCTCGCTAGGATCGTTCAACTCGCTCGTTTGCTCCTTCGCCTGTGCTCCTTTGGAAATTTCGAGCTCCATCTCGAGGTCCCTCAGATCATGCTTTGCTCTTGTCGCCTCCCATGAGGCAGTTTCAAGCAAGCGGCGGGCCAATCTCAATTCTTCTTCAGGATCAAGCTTACAAGTCCGTAACCCTCGTCGACGCTCCAGAGCTATTCCCGACCCCTCCCTCAGCCTTTCCAGCACTTTCTTATGTGCCTCGACTTCCTGCAAGGCCTTTCTCGCTGCTATGAGGCCCTCTCCTGACTCCCTAAGAGCTTTCATCGACTTGATCTCGGCTTCCGCCGTCTTCTTCGAAAGTTCTCCCAAAGCTTCCCAAGCCTCATTCAGAGCTTTGTGGAACTCCTCCGAGGTTCGCCGCGAATCTTCCAAAATTTCGAATGTCTGCCTCGCAGCTTCTTCCTTAATTTCTTCCCTGACTCTGCTTGGCCATTGACGGGCTTTTTTAGCTCGATCCATCGTGTACTCCAACCTAATTGAGACCGCCCGACATTCGCGTAGGTGCGAGTGGAAGCATTTGTCTGCGATTTGCCACCACTCGAACATGGCTTGGTCCGAGTGGAATAGAGCTTCATTCAAGTCCGTCAGAGCTCTTCTTGACTTGCTCAAGACTTCTAAGGCGATTCGTCTTTCTTCTTCTCCAACGTCTTCCTCGGGCGCATTTGTTTCGCCAATTCCCAAATTCCCAAGTAACGTCCACGCCTCGCTCGGAGATTCTCCTTGAGAGCCTGGATTATGAGCTCTGGCAACCGTTCCCGTGGTCTCTCCTGCAACCGCAGATCACGAAATTCGGAAATTGGTTGAAGTGAATTGCTAGACTCAAAGAAACTGAAAATACCCGTATGATGGGAACCCATTGCGACCATCTTCAGCGTAAGTCTATCTATCACCTCACCTGCACACCTGTCCGGATTCGCGACCGGCGAGGGCAAAGACCGGCCATGATCCCCGATCCCCTAGAAGTTACCGGGTACTTGAGCTCGGTGCGCAAACTTCCAGGGGAACAATGTGTTTGAGCAGAGGAGCTCTGAAACGGTGGCGGATTTCTCTTACCCCAGCTTGACTCTGGACGTTCCCCATTCTTCCCACAGATTATTTGCTGAAGATTTTTCAAAATGCAGTAGGTCTTCTTAAAATGGAGGAGTCGTTTAACGAGAGAATAATCTCGCGTCTCTCTTGGACAGTCTCCTTACGCGAGCCTGACAAGGAAGTCCTCATTACTCAAAGGATCGTCTGCCGACTAGCGTCGGAATACACGGCGGGATCGGTCTCGATTCATGGCTTAACCTACCGGAAGTACCGGCGAATGAGAATCACGAATCCTGATTTCAATGATCGTCGGAGCGGAAAGGCGACGATAGTATATCGAAAGACTTGTCGGTGATTAAAGGCTGAGCGAAGAAGTTCGCTAGACCTCGGCCCCGCGGGAAGTAATGTTCAACCAACTTACATATTTTGCACACAGTGCACACGGGAAATTCGTGGCATGCGCATAACGGGAGGGAGGAGCGTGGAGACTTGCTAGAGGGCTGTGTTCCGAATATTCGCATAGCTCGCACATATCCGCCCCAGTGGTTATCGTCGCTGGACGGAACCCCTGGAGGGTCGATTCTCGAGCGTCCGTCTATAGTCGTAGGGTCTCACAGTCACCCGCCCTGAATACGGAGATGGTGGCTGATGGCAACAGGAAATTTTTCTCGTGGTCTTACTCATTTGGGTTTCCCCCTCGAAACCTGCCAACAGCTTCCCTTTTGAGGGAGAATGAAAGGGGGGGGGGGAGCGAGGCATAGAGACGCTCCTCCTGTATACTTGAAGGTTAGAGCATTCTTCAAGAGCCGGCTGAGTGATTTTCAGGATCGATCTCCATTTCGATCCCAAGTCCTGATCCGGCCCAGAGCCTAGCTACTAATGTCGAAGAAGTATCTTCATCCAGGGGAGCGGTCTCCTCATGGAGTTCCATCCCATTTGTTTCCAGTCGTTCACGGCCCGCTAATGCTCACTCAGTTTCCATTCGAAGTCATACCCTTATTCTCATGCTGACCAGGATGCCTTGCTCTCGATCGCTTGGATGATGGCGACAAGCAAGAGGATGGGGAGTGATTATGAAACACAGGGTAGCGGAGACCCCCTCGCGATAGTTCGAGGGAAGATGAGGGAACGGGAGGGAAATCGTATCTAGGTAGTTCATCTTTCGACATGTTCCGATGCGAAATGTTCCACATCGCTGAAACAAAAACGGGTGCTGCACATGGCCGTGTCGGAAAGGAGCCCTTGAAGCCGGACTTCTTCTGAGAATAGACGCTCTCTACACCGGGCTCGAATACGACGAGCGAAGCTGTCCTGCGAAGATGTGGTTATTCACGTCGAATCCAGTCCGCTCCGATGCACGAGGTTCAGAAGCTAATGTATGCGGAGGCCCCGATTTGGAGGAAAAAGATATGATTCTGCACGGTGTGAAGTCGCTTACGAGTGATTCTCTGGAAAGATATCGGCGATGTCATGATATCTCTTCCATATGAACTTCGAATGTCGAGGCTTCGTTGACTCAATTTTCTATCGAGCCCAGCATGTGTAATCAACCCGGCGTCACAAGTTTCGAGTTTTGTTTTAGCGAACACAATCACGTGACCCCTGAAGTCGAAGCGGTGATCATGTTCGAGACGACCTCACAGAGGGGGATGGGAAAACGCCGCGAAAAAGCTGACTCCTCAATCGAAATCAATCGCTGGTCTAGTCATCATCTGTGACACCTATCAGGAACCAGAACTAGGTTAAGTCAGCAGAGAGTCGAGTCAGCTGGTTCAGGGCTCTACTCTCCGCGTCCCATAGGAGCTTCTGAAATCTACCAGGGAAATCACGGGCATCCCCTCGTAGTGAGCTGCTCCCACGGAAGCTATGCAGACGAGAAGAGATCGCCGAGTGTGGGCCCGATCCCAGCAGAGTTTGTATGACACCGACCAAGAGAGAGCCCGATCGCGAAACTTTTTATTTTTCGGAAGTCGGAAGCATCATACCGACATCGGACGATTGGATCGGACTCGGATCATGAGACGATTTGGATGATTCCCGATCACGATGGGAATGTGAACAGAGATCTGGAAATCATAGAGACTCCAAGACCGGATCCTAATGGAGGAAGTAGCGGTTTTTCGGACCGGTCCAGGGTTCCGTCTTTTAAGCAGCGCTCTCCTCAAGAAAGTGCCTCTCACGATCAATCGCTTCACTTTTTGCGAAGCGTACGCTGAGATTCTCTCCAAATTCAGAGTGTCGCCGCGAATAAAATCGCGGTCGGGAGTCGGACTCTGTAGCTTCTATTCAAATCGGTCGGCGGTCTCCATACCGTGACACCATCCAGTGGAATATTCGAGACGTTTCAGCGCTTTGGATCCCGCTCAAAATGACTACGGTGAGTTTCTTGAGTTTAGATGTCGTATTTTTGCTACACTTGAGCTCGAAAGCTCGGGTATCATCTGATATCTGAACGTTGCCGATGTTGCCGAGAATTCTCTCCGAAATACTCTATCCTATCGAGCATCCAAGCTCTTCGGTAACTCATATTGTCCCGTTACGGAAAGCGAAATCATCAATGGAAGCGCAATGTTTACGATCAATGGATTTGAAGGTTCGATACCCTCCGATCCCGAGTCGTTCCCTCGTCCGATGAGTACGGGAGCTACATTTGTTCTAAAAATGAGATTTTTCCTCTCGCAGTTACGCCACGATTGGTATGAGACCGAGTCTCAGGTCACGATAGAGATCTTCTTGAAGAATCAGAAAACTGAGGATGTGAAGGTCGAGTTCACGAAAGACTCAGTCTCCGTTCACGCAAAGCTGCCGTCGGATGTCTACGATCTGGAATTGAATCTCTTCCAAGAGATCAATCCGGAGCGATCGAGCTTCAAAGTCCTCACCACTAAAATAGAGATTCGACTGTGCAAAACCTCCGCCGGAAAGTGGTCGGTGTTGGAGCGGAAGCCGGATGAGAAACCGGAGGACAAAACTCCATCATACCCCACTTCGAGTTTGATAAAGCATGATTGGGACAAACTCGAGAAAGAAATCGAGAAGGATACCAGCTCACAGGATGTCGGAGATCTTTTCAAGCAGATCTACATGTCAGGCGACCCAGAGGTGCGCAGAGCGATGAACAAGTCTTTCTTGGAGAGCAACGGAACAGTGCTCAGCACGAACTGGGACGAAATAGGCAAACGGAAAACAGAAGTCAAACCACCGTCTGGGACTGAATTCAAGACCTTCGAAAACTGAGGATATCCATCATGTAAAGTCAATCCTTGATTTATCTCTTTTTAATATTCATTTGCGGTACCCACCATGATCAACATTATGCCTCAATGCCCCCATATTACTTGATGCTTAGGTATGCAATGCGAACAGGATTGGCATCATTGTCTGAATAAACGATAGGAGGTCAGAGAACTCTCAAACACCCTGTTCAAGGTCTGTCCTCAAGACATTTTTATTAAATTAGAGGTAGGCACTCCACGGCAATATATCACTGTCAGCAAGATATTTCGAACCTGCGACTCATTCCGAATACGATCTCCCCATCACTCGTATAAACTCCGTGACGATGTCGACGGCGATTTAGGTGAGCGGTGCCCCTTGGATTTACTAGATGGCATGCGGACGAGTTTGAACTGAGCCTGGCCTGCGTCGATCTCCATGTCCGGCAGAGGTTTCATCGATTCTCCAAGTAATGCTTTCAAGGTGGGTGAAACTTCGGGCGGATGATATTCTCGGACTCGCAAGTTCACAACTTCCAGGCTGAAATCCAATTGGCTTCTCGCTGCCTCGAGATAACGTTTTCTCGCCATTTCTCTGAGGAGTCGCTTCGGGTTGTGGCTGTCGGCCAGGGGATGTACCGCCGAAGTTCCTAGTTCGTTATTGAGAATCATAGAATAGGGTAGAAGATCCCAGTTCTCTGTTTCATCGTCGAATACGATACGAGAGAGTATCTTCGCTTTTTCTTGAATGGGAATGAAGTTCTCGATAATCATGTACTTCAGTTTCAATTCTTTGGTGAGATCGTGTTGGGTGGCCTCGATCTCTCGCCGTTCGCGGTTGTGTTCTTCCGTGAGGTCTTTGATGTCGATTCTGGCAGCTTGAAGTTTCCCGTAGAGTTTCCTAAGCTTCTTTGTCTTCGAATCGACCTCTTGTTGCAGACTTGTGTAGTCTTCACGTATTTCCGATGCACTCTCTTCGTGCAGTTCGAGCTTTTTTATCATTTCTCTCTCTATGCGCTTCTGCTCGGCTATCTCCCGTCTCTTTCGTTCTAGGGCTCGCTCCTGCTCGTTCGTATGCTCTATGATATCTTTCCCGCCCAATAATTTACTTTCGAGAGCAGCGACCTTCGCAGCCAATTTCTCCGTGTACTCGACCTCGGCCGCGTCCGGGCTCGTGGGACCGCAGCCCTCGGCGGAGCTGTCTGAATTTATCGACGTTCGGCTGACTGCGCTGCGAGACTTGACTTTCCGTTTGCCTTTCTCTGCGAGCTGCATCTTCAATTTCGCGATCTCGGACTGGAACTCCCTCAGGAGCGCATCCTTGGGGTCCTGATTGACTTTCGGCTTGTTCTTGATATGCTTTGCCCGACTCGCGTAACGGAGCGTCGTCAGGGTTTCCTCGTAGTTCCAATGCGACGGACCAATGTTGGCGATCATTATGGTTTTAGCATTGCCTCCTAGGGAGTCTTCGAGGAGTCGAGTCAATTTGGAGTCCCTATAAGGAACGTGAGTTGATTTTCCGTCGACCAAGCTCGAAATCACGTTGCCCAGAGCCGATAAACTCAGATTGATCTTTATCGCCTCTTTCTGCGTCGTCCCCTGGGCATTGGTTTTGCTCTGACGCTCCGATCCGGCCAAGTCAACAAGGTTCAGTTTCCCGACTCTGATTGTTGGCGCGCAGTCGGTTTTCTCATCGAGATCGCTGTGTTCCACCGTTATTATGAATATTGCATGAGACCTCGAACTGTGGAGATTCATGTTCGTTCGTCCGACAGCTCTATTCTGGTTTCCCACCGTCATCACGCGTTCGATTTCCTGGACGGATTTGCATAGAAACGAACTGAGATCCCTGACGTGGACACCGGTGTCAGGACGCTCTTTGAGCTCGAGTTTCTTGCTTTGATCCTTCGCGATGAGATCCCGTATCTCCTCCTGGTAAATTTCCAGATACGATGCCCGAACGAGGTATTGCTTGTTCCGAGATTTCTGTATGTGACCGAAGATGTGTTCGAACGAGTTCGGTATGACTCCGCGCTTCTCGGGGTCGGTACGTATACCTTCCATGGTGTAGGTTTTCCCAGTGCCAGTCTGACCGTAAGCGAAAATTGTCCCGTTGAAACCTTCGAGCACAGAGTCTACCAGGGGTTGGAACGTTTCACTGTAGAGACGTTTCTGAGGCGCTCGCTCATCGTAAACCGCGTCAAAAGTGAACTGTTTCGGTTCATCGTCGGCTCCTTTTCTTATTTCGATGCTTCCTCGCTCGGGGTTCATCTCCACCACTCGCCGGTGGTGGGATTCCGACTCCTTGTCGCTCATCGGGCGACATCGCACGATGACTCTGACCGATTCCGATGCGGTTCCTTTGGCGCTCATCTTCCTCGGCTCCTCAAATATCGTGCAGAGTCACACCGACATCGATCCGATGGATGCGAAATCACGGTTCCGAATCATTCATTCGGATGGCGGCTTCGGGCTTCACTTGTTGCGAGGCCGACTTTCTCGAGGGACCCTGCCGAACTTCACACTGTCTGGTTCCGGGCGCACTTCAAGGCATTGCATTTGATAGGCAGGAAATTTCTGACCCCAGCGCGATGGTTCCGTGTCATTCGATCGGGGCGAGGTGACAGCGTGACTCAGCTGGAGCCAGCTGAGTCGTAACTCGGAGAGAGTTCGTTGCCATGGCTTATGGGGGAGGGTACAGACAACCTCAAACTATCGAGTCCGAGAGGCGCTCGCTTTCGAAACTCGAAGCGATCTTATGAACATACTCGCATCGTGATACCCGCAGAATTCACTCCGCCGTCGTAAGCCATCAAGGAGTCGATGCCTCAGCTTGATATCAGAACAGCGATCTATACCCAAAACTATTTTATTCCATTCGGATGGATGGGCGTCGATTCGACTTCTCATTTTTCAATTCTCAGAGCTCACTATTCACATCCCAACGATTGACGTCTTTGCTTGGGTGGTCATCCATCCCAGTCATTCTGATGGGTCGACGGATTCCGAAGGTTCTGGATTAGCAAAGATCTCTCACATTTCAAAATCATCGCCATTGTGAAATCGCTGATCAATCGGACATTCCATACCATCTTCAGAATGGGGACGGCTGCCCCTTCCGGTACGATTTCCGAAGGATCCGGGGACGGCATATCAGCAACAGGTGAAGGGCTTGGTTCCGGAGCTAGTTTCTCTGAAGAGGTCCGTTTCAAGAAAGAGGGCAGAGTCACATCTAGGAGGAAAAGCCGCTGTGTACTCCGAGCGAGGCAAACTGTCTATCATGACCCCCCCACTCGAGAATCTCGTATGCCGATCAGGCGTTGGATACGTACTGTAATAGTCCTCCGAATGAGCCGCTCCTGGTGACAATTTGATTGAATCAGAATGGTGACACTTCTAACGATTGCGGATAGCCACTCGAATCACTCGGAGGGCGGATTCGAGTAGTTGTACCCACCGAGTCTAGATCCCCTTGTCGAGGAAGGCTTCTCCGAATCGTTCTCGATCGGGACACCTGTAATCTCTACTGAAATGAGGCACGGCTCTTCTTCTATCGGTGAATACAATACCATTACAGGGATTCCAGGAATCGAGAATGTCGAGCTTGTATACCCGGTGAGGTTTTCCTAGCCGGAAGATCGTAGGTATGCTGATCTTTCTCGGCCGCTAGGAGTCGGTCTCTCTCTACCGGAGCCTCACGCACGTTCTTCGACGTCGTCGGGGTGGGAGCGGCTCCGCTCTTTGCCGCCAACTGGAATCAAATGGATAAAGGGCTGTTCTAGCCATTTCCATGTCGAAATCCAATTCAGATAGTCCTCGGATTTTTGGGGACGAATCCGAGACCTGTGGAGACATCTCCATAGGATTAAGCTTGGTTCCTGCGGTCGGCGCGCGAGTGTTCTCCGCTACCGGGGATTTTCTTGAACGTGGGATTTCCTTCCCCTCAATCAGCTCGGCTCGCTCCGCTTCCCCCAACCGTTTAGTTCCCCCCTCCTGAAAGTCGGTATAGATCACGCTGCTTCATTCAGACTCCTCGGATCGTGCATCCAGGGCGTGAAAGTATTCGTATTAGCCCCGAGGGGATAACGAGTCGGATTCCGACCTCTGGCACACTTGGGGACGTGCGATCTGGTCGATTCGACAGATCGTTGGCTCCCTGGAAAGTATTATGCCGGAACATCAGAACCGCCCAGAATCAGATAACGGAAGTTTCTCGGGCCGCTCGAGCTCGGGTAGGAATCCGTTATACCTTTGAAGAATTCACTGTCTCACTCGACTTTGGGCTCTTCGTTGCGCCGGGGATGCTTGCAGCTCTGACTCCCTCCTTCGTCGGGGGTGCTTTTCCGATTTCACGGAGCTCGACATCGTTCTTTGATCGCTGAGTTTTTTTCACCTGGAGGAATATCAGAGCGGGAAATAGGATAGGAATCCGACGATCGGAGATCTACACGGCCCAGGCGCACAAAAAGAGAGCGCTCAAAAACCCCGAAATTCGCATGCGAGCGAGAGACATCGAAGAACTTTTCATGGGAAACGATCCTTCAATAGATCGATAGTCGCAGCTCTCAACGCGTATCGCTCGATGGGGCCCCAATTCGTCTATCCAGTTTCAAGCTCTTTCAGAACCTGATCTGAGCTTACATTGACACACTTCTGGATAATTCTCGAGCTCGAGTAGATCCCTCAACCCCCTGCTGTAAATTGTTGCGCAAAGAGTCCGTAATAAGGCTGCTTCATCGTGAAGCTCTCCTGAAAAGCTTATACGGGAGGGGGAGTCAACCGGGCCTCCAGAGCTATTTTGAGGTATGACGCTCAGCCTCGAATCCCGTCAAGGAAGTTAGGTATTCCGTCTGGAGGCGCTCCGCCTCCCTCAGTGACCAATGCTCCGTCTGAGCCTCACGGTCGCTCTGAGCATGTCCTCCGAGGGGATCCTGAGTAACAGCCGGAGTTCGTCAGGTGCATGGACAGTGGAGCATTGTGATGCTTAAAACTCTACTTGATTGATTGGGAAGAATGACCCAAGCGGTGGGATCCTTATACTCGGATAGACCGCTGCGTCATATCATCGTGAAAGTGCGGCGATGGTCTATCAACGCACAGGAAGAACATGAGGAGTCTTTGAATGTCCGCACTCACTTCGGGAACGATGTCGACTTCCTCGTCTTTTCGGAGGAGTTTCTCAGCCGTCTGCGGGGTATTTCCAGGTAGAACCGAGATCCAATCATGCAACCGCTAGGGACCAAGTTCCCCAACTGAAATTACCTCCACGTTGTCCCGCCTGACTCCTTCCTCGAAAGCGCTGGTTATTCCAGTTGCGAGTGCCATCTCCGCCCGTTCCTCTCGGGTCATATTCTGCGGGAAATGCAGGATTCCTGATCATACTGGAAGAGGGCTCGTGGAGAAGAGCTTGGATCACAGGGCGATCCTCATGAGATTATTCATGTGTCATGGCCACATATCTATCTATCTATCTTTTTCTATATATAAAAGCGAATGTATGTGGGTCTGTGGGTGACCTATAGACTCCCAAACCGCTGAACGGTTCGTCGTAAATTTTGGTCTGATGGTCCACCGGGCTCTTTGGCCCCGCCCTCGGGGCTTGCCCGGCCTGTGGCCTCGGTCGGACTCGCCCCTGTGACCGGGCATCTCATGCTAACTGCAGCGATGCGGTAGGGGTATGTCATGAGCTAGAACGATCGGTTTCTCTCATGTCTCTGCGTTGCTCCTCTGTTTGTTGCGCACGGGCTTCAGCGGTCCGTAAACGCTTCGCAGCTAATCTAGTCTGCCTTTGTTCCGACGTTTCTACAGGATGAGAGCTCCTCTTTTGCTGAGCTCTACGTGTGGAGCGACCAAGCAATGCTTTTCTGGGAGGCATTGTCGTTCACTGCTCCAGAGAGGGTGAGAATCAGCTCACTTGAGTTAGGACGATCACCCGAAGACCTATCGTACTCACAGCCGCAAGTGTATTTCAAAAAGTACTTCATTATTCAAACTCGTCAAAACTTAGTTTCGGAGTTCTCTCGCGAAAGAAAAGCTCACTCCCTTTCCCCTTTGAATCAGCCTATCAGAACCTGCAGCCCTTGAAGGAAAGAACAAACCAATGATATTCTTCCGATATGAATATCAGTGACAGGACTCGAGAGAATTATCGTTGAGAGTCTTCAATTCAATAAACGCATGGGTGTGCAGGCTCATTTGCTTAATCCTGTTTGGTAATCCGTAATCTGTGACCCTCCTATACATGACTCGAACACCTCAAAAATCTATCGTCTCGCCGCGCTTCCCATCTTCACTATGACGCCGGAAATTCGGAGAACCATCATTTAATTATAGCGGCCTCAATATTGGCTACTCCTCGGCCTCCAGAGTTCTCTCCTCTTCCATTCCGGATACGGACTCCTCCATTATCCTCGAAGGCAGTAGTGGGGATGCGGACTCCTCCATAATCCCCGCAGGCAGTGGTGTCAATTGGCTGCACATGACGCATCCGGAACACTTGCCCACCCAGCGCCTGAGTGACCGCTGATGACAGTCCCTGTCTTCTCCCGGGCTCCTGCGCAAATCGCCCCCACGGACAGTGAAAACATATAACCTGGGTCCTCCCCTCGTTGGATGGGTCGTCACTCTCAACTTGATTGCCGGCCCCGGCCCGTGCCTAATCCATTCAGCTTTCACGGAGGAGCACGCAGCTAACCGGGGATGCCGCGAGAGCACGTCATTGATCTGCTGCGACCCATACTCCACACCTCCTCCACTCCAGAAACATAAACGTTCTTCTTGGGCCGATTCTTGCGACATCCCTTGGGAATCCTGTCGGCAATACCGATTCTTCTGAAAGCACTTTCCAGAGCAACGTTCGTGGAATTGAATCAAGCTCCCAATGACGAATGACGAAGCACCCTCTCGAACAGAAAATTCCAACGACGAAGCGCCAATACTGTCACCAAACTGTCACCAAATACTGTCACACACCCCTGGATATTGAGAGAAAACACTGGCCAATGTTCCCTACACGTCGTCAGGGGAAGACCGTGAAATCCGGGAGCGACCCGGTGAGTCCGCACTGCGTGGCGGTACGAGCCTAACAGACTTGGAAACCACCGTTGGCCCTAGCCAACGGCGTGGTACTTTTTGGTTGCGAGGCGAAGGAACTTACTCACTCGACTTCGGGCCACCCTGGAAGCTTCCCCCGACGACTATTTATTGCGGAATACCAAATACAGATCATATAGTTTTCCCCTCCCGATGGAGCAGTCGCTGAAAACCGACAACGACGGCAAGAGCTATCGCGGGATCGGACTTCGGTCCGCGACAGTCCCCGGCGAATCCTAGAAGCTTGAAATGAGAGGATTCAGGTGCTTCGTGCGTGTGTGTGTTGTTCCATGCTTCGGGGGGCCCTCGGTCACCAATACTCCAACTTGTTGCAATAGCTTGTTGAATCTCGCCGAAAACTGCCCCCTACATTTATGAAAACTACCCCTGCTATTAAGAGTGATGATCGTATGGTCCCGCCCGCCTTTTTGTTCCTTTCCGTGCTAATTCCTTTGCTGATTCCCGTTCGGGTCCGAATCGGGTTAGTTTTCCCTATTCGGGCTTATCCTCCTCAATATTTCCCCGTCCCCCACTCCCTTCCACCGCTTCTGTGTCCACATTTCCCCGTGCGGCGGCAGTCCGAAGATTCGCCTTGGTCTGAACGGGCACCCACTTAGCCACTCTCCATTTTCCCTATTCTACCTGTTTCGAACGACGAAGCACCAGCTTGAACACGATAATTTCTGTTTTTGGTGGAACGGTAAATCGCTGACACAGAGCAACCCCCCTGGAACCTTCGCGGAATCCGGCTGGACCATCAGACCAAAATTGACGACGAACCGTTCAGCGGTTTGGGAGTCTATAGGTCACCCACA